TTATAGTTAAAATGCACCGACAGCCAGGGTGCCGATGCTTATTACCGAAAATTTTTTTTTAAAAAAACCTGATATACCATAATTTTTACTGTAACATTTATTGTAAAGTCACTGAACTATTGCATTTAAATAATTATTACTATAAAATATACGGTATAAAATTTTACTCTAAAAATGAAGTTTAAGGTGTAATTGATTTTACGGATGATGCAACCAGGGTGCAAGTACTTTTTACTGTAAGAGTTTTTTACAGTGTAAGCTACATATAAGAAATATTATTAAGTTCTGCAGATTTTTCTAAATTGTATCAATCACATTCTTAGTTTCTCAAGGCATATTTTATAGGAATTTTCAACTCAATGTAGGAGTTGGAATGGGAGATATTTCAAAATAATATTTCAATTATAATGAAAAATTTGTTATTAAAATATTTTATTTGGAGCTAAATCATCTGTGAAGAAAAAAATATTGTCACTCTCTTCTTTCACAATTACAATTTTTTGAATCTCGCAGTTTTTTTTTTAAGTATGGCAACGATTTCAACCGTTTAAATTTTGAATCTACTCCATTGACTCTATGTTACTGAACTCAACTCACCAATATTTGTTTTCATAATTTTCCTGTAAGTTTTGAATCTCGCACAAGTTTTGATTTAGCTGAATCATGCACTGATGATGTACAATCAAGTTGTTTTGCAAAAATACGTATCTATCCAAAACCCAACATAAGTACCAAAATCCAATTATATATATATCCTTTCTGATCAATGATCAATGCTGCCAGATAATTTGCTTCCTTCCAACGGAGGCACGCTATTTTTTTTCTTTTTAGTAGTTTTGGAGAAATATAACACTTTTAAGTTTATTATTCATATTGATATTAGCAGTGCAGTAGAATGTCATTGCAGTGTTAGTCTGTTCGTTTGAATTAATTTTCTTAAGTTTGAAATTTTAGAGTTGTTAAAACAATAACAGTGAAAAGTTTTATAAAATACATTATATACAAATCTTCACTCATGGTTCGAAGATCGATCAGATTTTTTCTCTGATTTCTTTTTTGATTTTGAGAGGCAAAAAAAAAATTGTTTAATTATCTATAATTTATTGTACAAGTTTTTCAGATTTTTATTTTCATGAATTTATTCTATCAGCTTTCAATTTATAGTTTTTTTACAAATATACAATTATAAATTTTTTCTCGATTACTATTCAATCGATTTATAATAAAAAAATCTTATTTATTTAAATGTTTTAATTATCTTTAAATTAAGTAATCTAACAATAAATAGTTGTAATAAAATCTATTGCTAGTAAGCAAAATCATGTTTGAGTAAAAAAAAGCTTTTAATTCTGTGAAAGGAATAATAGATTTTTGCAATTAATTTTGTTAATATCTAAGGAGGCACGAAGTTTAAATGTCATGTATAATTATCATGTACAATTATCATCAAAAAAATTTATTTTGAGCATATTTTTCTGATTGCAAAGATCCCCCAGCCTCTTTTGCATACTTTGAAGGTCAAGAATTTTAATTCGTGAAACAATAATTATATTATTAAGAGAAAATTTGGATTATTTATTTTATTATTAAGTTTGTAACTTAGTAATAAGTACTAATGAATTTTTAATTATTTTTTTGAAATTATAATTAAGTTATTCTAGATTTAATCCCCAAATCATTAAAATTACAATTATTAAAATTTTTGTAAGAATAGAATTATCTTTAAAATGTAATAAAATAAGTATTTAAACTTTAAACTGTTTTTTAACGATTAATATTACACGTTTAATGATATTGTCTGTTCAGTAAATTGTTTCTAAATGAACATGTTCTTGCTTATGTTTGATGAATCTGTTACTATGACAACCAAAAATCAATGCATTGACAGGTTTGATTGTAATATGTTTTACTTTCATGAAATGTAAGATACTTGAAATCGATAAGGGAATTTGCATTTTCTTCTTGTTGTATAATAAATCGCCTGCATTTTTCCCAAGTGGATTTTATAAAACCACATAATAATAGTTATTAATATTAAAATTTCTGCTTTTATAAGCATTAATAAAATTTGTAACAAAATAAATAAATAGAAGGCATGTTCTTAAATTCCTATTTTCACTCGTTATTTTGATACACTTTTTTAATAAACGGAGATAATCTTTAGATATTTTAAAATGAACGATATTATTATTACTTACATTAGTCTGTTAATTCATGACCTTTCTAATTTTAATTTTGAGAAAATAATATTTCGCAGGGATTATTTTTCGACAAAAAATTGCTTTTATGCTCTTATTATTCTTTTCTAAAATTTTATTTTTGGAAGTAGGTATCAACCATTTTGTTAATATAGTTATTTTTTCGTTTTTAAGTCATGTTGAAGAAAAGGAAAAGTGGCTGTTTTAACTAATTAAACAAAGTGATAAAATTCAAGATTAAATTATTTCACTGAAACTTTCAATTATTATATTGAATTAAAAGTTTGTTTCGCATTTGAAAATATTATAAGAGAAATTTCGAAGAATATGCAATTTGAGTTGGACAAAAAACTTATTATTTTATCAAAAATTTTAGGAAGACACCTAACTATCGGACACCATATGAAATTTAATTTTGATCTTCAAAGTGAAGTTTTATTTTCAAAAAGCCTAAACAAGTAAATAAATAAAGTGTAGAACCTAAATTAACACAGTTAATAACGCATTTATTAATAAAAATGCTTTTAATAAACACATTTTTAAAAAGGTGACTTTAAAATAAATTTTTAATAATTAACTTTTTTCATTTTAAGTTTCAGTGCTCATTTTTAAAAAAAACCTAATTGTAATACTTTGGAGTAAAGATGCTATAATATGCAATTAATATAGCTTATATCTCTTGTGTTTCATTAAATGTTGAATATATATTCAACTAGATAAAAACAAGATAAAAATATCCCCCCTACCAAGGATATATACAAATTAATGAACTTTTTTCTATACTTTACCAAAATAGTAATAACAATGACGTCGCTGGTAAAAATTGTTTAATGGTTGATAGTCATAAATCAAATCCAAATAATTGAGTGTCTGATTAAAATTTGTTGAAATTTTTTTTCTCACAATTAATTAACAAAATCGCTATTAACAAAAACTTTTACCAAATTCTTAGACTCTCATTTTTTCAATACTTGATTCCCATTTTTAACGATAACAAGAACTCGCAAACAAAACAATAACTCTATGAATATTTTATTCCCTTTATTCGATATTATATGCCGATTATTTTATTTGATATCATTCGATTTAGGAAGCGTTAAAAGTCTCACTTTATACAAAGGAAAAGAAATATTTGGCAAAAGTTATGAAAAATTGAATATATCGAAACAAAAATTACATTTAACACTTAATAAAATTTTCAGTAGTTAGAAATATCAATTCACGTAGAAGACAATTTGATTTTTCAGGAAAATGTTTTATTTATCAATAATATAAAATCATGGATCTCATTTATAAAGAAAAGATTCATCGCCTTTGAAAATAACATTTATCCTAAAAATATCAATATATTTTATCAATGAATCTCATTGTTTGTTTTTGATATTTTTATGCTTATAATAAAAAATAAATCGCTTGCTATAAAAAGAAAAAGTGAAAGCGATACAAAGTCTGACTTCTGATGCATATTTGCATCTATCTTTAAGCAAAAAAATTTTTTTTTCAAAGTCGTTCAATAGTTTTGTTTAGTTGAATTAATAAAATAATCTTTTGAATTATGTTTAAAAAACTTCATATTTTTTAGAATTTTATTTTTTGACTTTCATAAATAAAAAATAAATCGTATAAACTGAAAAAATATGAGCAAACGATTATAAAACTGATAGTTTAGTTGATTTTCACGCAAATAGTGTGTTCTATATTTGTCGTTTGATTCCTTAGTATTCAAAACATTATTAAAATTAATGCATTTAAAAAGCTTCTTTTCTTCTTATAAAGAATTTGGTAAGTATAATTTAGCAAATTTCAAGAATTGTTGTATTTGTTATAAAAAATTGGGATAAATAAATAATGAAATCTAAATGTTTTACCTTAATACATAAATATGTCTATTAATACATTTTATTTGTTATGATATGTATAAAAATAAATTTTTGATCGAAGCAATTAAAAATAAAGAGCAAATTATAGTGCATATTAGAAAATAGACTAAATAAGTAAGTGAATAAATAGCAATAATGGTATATCATAAGTTGGGAAGAATTTCTCAAATAATTAAAGCTGTGGCCATTTTGTTTATAACACTCTTGTTTTTATTCTAACTCTAGTAGTCTTAAAAGTTTAATTAAACCCAAATTGTGCAAATGAAAATGTATCAAGTATCAATTTGTCATAGATTCATAGGTATTTGCAAAAAAACAAAAATCCAAATTTTTTATGGAATTGCAATTTATGAATCTGAAATTAGAAAGAAAAAAGAAATGAAAATTCACGCAATTTTTGTAAGCTCTAATTTAATTTTTATCGATTTCAATATTGACGGTGCAATGCTTTTTTAAAATTTAGTTCACAATTCTAATTTTCTGATGATATAAAATTTTAAACTAGTTATAGTTTTTTCTCTTATAAAGTTTTGTCTAAAGTAAATAATTCTGTTTTTCATTTGTTTTCGTTGATGGAGATCTAAAACAATGAAATTCAATTCAGATGAACTGAAAAAAGGAATAAATAATTATAAATTATATTCAGCATTATTGTAAAGTAGAACTTTTCTTTCATCCACTTAAAAGTACTTCCAATATTCTTTTTAAAAACTGAATATTTTAAAACTGATTTAAAACTACTGACACTTTTTATGAAGAAGTGGTTTTTATTTATTTAGTTATTTTAACAGAGAATATCTAAAAATTCTAATGTAATGAATAGTACAAAATACTTAATGTTAACTTTAAAAGAACTTTAAAATAAATATTCTTCTATTAATACTTTTAATATGGTTTATAAAAGTGTTTAAAATATTTTCAGGTGGTGCTGGTGTTCCTACTTAGTATAGCGTCATTAATCATCTACTTCATCGATGCCTCTCGGTATGTTGCTTTCTCACATTTCAAAATCATCTGCTTTTTTTGCATAAAATTCAATTATCAAGCACACTTTAATGTGCTTAGTATAATGCTCATTGCTTTTAACTTTGTTTCATAAAAAGAAAATTTTTTAACCTTATAAGTTCCAATATATTACCACGCAAATATTGAGACCACACAAATATAAGTGGCAGATTTATTTGCTTCTAGTGTATAACTATTAACTGTGTAAGAAATGAAATTTTTTATCTGAGTCATTTAATAGGTATGTTAATAAAATTGTATGTTTTTCATTCAATTAGATTATAATGATTCTGAAAGTGAAATGCATAGTACGTTCCAGAGTTCTTTTTAATTAAATTAGATTCTGAAAATTAAAATTATAGTTTTGTTATATCAATGCTTTATCAACTACATTAATCAGTACTCTTGTATATTTTTTTTAAAAATTAATAATTTTTAATATTTTTAATGTATGAAAAAGAGTGTGAAAAAGAAAGAAAGTTTTCCAAATTTATCGTCAATTTTTCTTTCTAAAGTAAAATAAGAGAAAAATTTGAATAATTTTATAGAAGGAGAAAAGTACCTCTTAAATAGAATAATAAAAGATGATATTCTACATTTTTGTGAATTTTTATGTATTTACTTATTTTGGAAATCGTTAATTCATAGTATTACTAAATATTAAGAATATGAACATTCTATTTAAAGTGTATGTGCTTTTAAACATATTAATTTTTGATTGAATTATTATAATTAAAAACTAAATTTACTAACATTCCATTAATATAAGTACTAGTTTTTCTTTGTCCTAGGAACTAATGGTTTTTGATACCTTGTTTCATTTATAGTATTTCATAAATTCGCATATTTTGTATGCATTTATCTATCTTGGTCACTCCAAGGATCTGATAACAAATACTTTTTTTTTCTTTTTAGACCCTTTAAAATGACCAATTTTAAAACAGATCAGAAACAATTACAGTTTATTTTTTTTTTTTACTTTAGTTGAATTAGTAACATCAATGAAGTATAAGTATGTATGATGTTTATAGCAAGCAATTATTCACTTCTAATCATAAGTCATTGGGAAGAGTTGATCGCACAATTAATCTATTTAGGAATATAATGGCATTTTAAACACATTTTACTAGGGCTTAGTTAATTTTTTCTGTAGTATCTCAGATGATTTTTGTTTTACCAACTTCTAAATTTTAACAAGAGTACTTCAGCTATGATACGAGTACAAGATAAAAATTATTCCCTTAAATTTCCGCAATTTTCAGATTATAACTTTCTTCACTTACTGTTACTATTACTAGCATTACTATTTTTTAAACAAGCGTTCGTAATCGTAGTTATAGATATATTTTTTGCCTTTTTCTTTCAAATGCAAAAATATTGTTGTAAATAGCCATGAAAATGCAAAATTTTTTATTGTACAGAGAGAGCAAAATGAAATAAATGAACACTTTAAAATCTTTTGATTTAGTGATTGCATTTTCACATACTAAGATGCAGTTTTAACAGTTTTAGGGTATAACCTTAAATATGCTAAGTAGCTTTTGTAGTTATTAATAGTTATTGTAATTAAAGACTTACGTCCTTTAAGTTACGAAATTAAACGCAAAAATAATTTTTCTCTAAATAAATATGATTTTTTTAATAAATATCTGAAATCTTAATTGGTAAAATAGGAGGGAGTTGACACAATCGGTGAATTATTGTCCAATAATTTAGGTAGGCAAGCAGTTGGAAGTTTGAATTTCTTAAAGTTAAGTTTACTTTTATTTAATTTCATCACACATTTAGAACTGTTTAAGAGAATCAAACTTTTTATAGAAAATTAAAAAACTTACTTATCTTAAAAATATTTCAAGCAAACCATAGGTTTTAAATTTTTTAAAATTTAATTTAATAATGGTCGAAAACTTTTTTTTGAACTATAAGATATAAAAGTTAGGTAATCAGTCGGAAGTTTGATCTTCTTAAAGTTACGTTTACTTTTAACATATGCATTTGAAACTATTTAAGAGAATGAAAAACTATTTTATACAAAATTATAGAATTAATTTTCCTAAAAAATATTTTGCATAAAACATACTTTTTTAATGTATAATTATTAAATTTAATAATTTAGTTTAATTTTTTTATTATTTAATTTATTTTTAATTTGTTACTAGTTTAAAAAAACTTCTTAAATTGTAGAATATACAAATTTTCACGTCTTTTATCATCTAAATTGATTGAAAAAATACAAAAGTCGCACGAAATTGACCAAATTGCTTATAAGTAATAAACTTTTATAAATAATAAACTTTTAAAAATAATTTTTAAAGTCTTTGAAAAGCGAGTTTTATTACTGTATGCTAGAATTCTTTGATTAGTTCGAGAAATATGGTGAAATGCTCAAATAAATGAAATTTAATTAAGATTTCTAAACTGGGGGCCTTTTTCTTCAAACTGCTGCAGCTATTCTTAATGTTTATAGCATAAAAAAATCTTAATCCATCGGGTGTTTATGCCTCTACACCGTATTACGTGAAAATGTGATCATATGTTCAAAAGATATTGATGTGTCCCGTTTTATTTACTTTGCGCAAAGAAGCTGTTATATGTGGTAAAAAAATATCTCCTTTCAAATCTATACTTACCATAATGTTTTTAATAATCTCACTCTTTGCTCTTGAAACTCTACACTCTCAAAAAAGGGAGAGAAAAAAACGTTAGAATTCAAACCATAAAACTGGTTCCTTGAACCAATATATGGCAAATTTGCTGAAAGTCTATTAAATTGCTCAGTTTACTAATGTCTCCATTTATTTTGGATTATAATATCTGGTAATCAAACTTAATAATGGTAATATGGTCCTTTGTTCTCAAAATAAAGCTCTAAAAACTTAAACAGTGTAGTTTTCCTTTACTTTGGAAAATTTAGGAATTCTCAAATTACCACATGCTTAAAAGTTAAGAGTTTAATTTAATAATTGGTGTGAAGTCTCAAAATCTTATTTCTTCTTGAAATATTCTTGGGAAAAAAATAATATTTCCTATACAGTGGTTTTCGGACTTATTGTTTTGTTAAATCAATTGATTACATTCTCGATTATTTATGCAAATTACAGTTACATGCTTTTTTTAAAAATATTATTACATTTATTTTTTCTCTGTATTTGATAATTTAAACGAACTTTCTAATACACAATTTTTTTTTAAAAAAATGAGGTAAATAGCAATAGACAATTTTGCATATGATGGATTTTCTTCATAAGAATGTAATCCTTAGCTTCTCAACAAAAAACTTTCTAAGGATTTATTCAGTAAAGAGTGTTCAAAATTTGTTTTTCAAAAACATATTTTGTTCTCATTTCTAATTGTTTTTTTAAACAACTGCATCAAGATTATTTTTTAAAGTATCATTTATTTTAAATTGCATGAAAATTAAAAGCTGCATTTTTTATTGAAAATATAACTTTAAATTTTGTTCTATGCTTATACATTTGGCAACAATTCATGAACTGCTTTAAAATCTTCAAAGAATGTTTACAATAAATGTTTAATTCCTCATTGCTCTTATTTTTTGTATTTATTATAAAAAAATTAAATTATAAAAAATATTATTTTTTATAACAATGAATAATATCTTCAAATAACATTTGTAACAAATGTTTAAAATCTGACTGTACTTATTTTTAATATTTACTAGCAAAAAAAATTAAATTATAAAAACTATTATTTTTATAACAATAAACAAAGGAAATCAATAGTCTCTTCAATACTTTTATAAAATTTTTTTAAGTAAGCATCTTAAAGTTTGAGAAATATACAAATCTAGGAAATTATAAAGCTTAAGATTTATATTATATCAAGATTTTTATATATAGGTTTAAGAGATTAAATGTTATAACAAATTATTGGGGCTTCCTATCTATAGTTTTGAAATCTGTTTACAACTTGTAACTCTTTTAAGAATTTTTTAAGAGATTTCAGCTGCTTTTTTAATAAATATTGCGTGTAGTTCATTATTTTGCTATTGTGTCTAAGAAATCATTGTATACATAAAAAAATTGTATGCATACGAAAGAAAACTTTCTAATTAATGTATAAAAGTACTATCAATATTTTTATGATTCTTACTAATTTCTCATTTAAGATACCTAATAGTACTGAATTTCAACGAAAAATTTTTGTTTGTCTAACAAGACTTGAGAAATTCACTTCAAATTGAGATTTGATGTACTAGTAGGTATATCATATGTACGCTCTCTCCTTAAAATAAAACGGCTTATCAACCTGTCAATTTCAAGAAAAATCCTTTGAAAATTTAAGAAAAGTTTACATAAATACTTTCTACAATGTCCAAAAACGCAAAAAATTTAGCAGTATTATAGGTACTTGATTGCCTCGCAGACACTCAGATTTAGATTATCGCTGATTCTCACTTTATTTTACCAATTTAATTTTTAAATTAAACGTTACAATTTTACTCATTTAATTCTACCAAATGTTACAAAATTAACACTCACAATTTCGTATTATTTCTTATTCTTTTTAATTATTAAATAATGCCTTGCATTTAAATTTCAGTAATAATTCCAGTATACATTTTTGAATTGCGATTTTAAAAACAAATGTAAATAGTGCTTACAATAATGAAAAGGAATAATTAAAATAAAAGAATAGAAAGAATTAGTGGGATACTTTAGCACTTTTAATTATGTTTGTAAATGGAGAAATTCACAAACTTATTATTTACTTAAAACATTATTATTACACTTGAAAATAAAATTATAATTGTAATTTACGTATCCAGAAGTAGGAATAAAAAATTAGTAATATGAAAAGAAATTATTAAATTATTAATTTACAAAAAATAATGTTTGTAAAAAGTAAATTTATTAGAGCTTTTTTTTAAATAAAATATCCGTAACAAATATAGTTTCCCCAAACGACAAGTAAATTACGTTACCCTGTAAGCTGTTGCACCATTAGTCAGCTTGAAACGTTGCTTATATATAAATTGTACTTAAATTTCAAAGTTTTTCAAGGATATTTTTCAATACAAATTAACTTTGGACGGCACATTATTAGTTTAAAGGTTAAACACCCCATATGTGTATAACAAAATACTCTGAGCAGCATTACGAAGTGAATTTCCCAAGACATGTCCTCCTCTTATAATTGCCATTATTTCAATCTTTCATCCGTTAGACGCTATATTTTAAAGTATATTGTAAGAATTGCCGTTCTGTTTAAATTCTTTCAGCTTCTTATACTTCACAATTCAGGTAAAGCCCAGTGCTCATAAATTATATTATAAGGTTTGTAGCTCACTTGCAGTTTAGTCTAATTGTTCTTAGATTTGTTTTGTTCTGAACAATTTTATGAAAGTACACTATTTGTAAAGTACATTGTAGAAATTTAATTTTTTTAAAATAAATATCGCTTCACTTAATCATTCCTTTTTTTCCAGTTTACAATTGTGTGAAAGTATGTACAGTACTTGTAAAACAATCATAATTAAATTACAAAACTTTTCTTTAACTATTTTACTTAGCAAAAACAAGATTTTTCTAGAGTTTAACAGTTTTGATGGTTCTCGTCAGTTAAAAACTTTTCATAATGAAGCTATTAACAAATAAACAAGTTGAATTGGTAATAAAATTTTAATTTTTTTTCTAAATTAAGATGATTTTATTTCCTAATGTGAAATTATTTATTGAAATTTTTTTAGAAAATTGAAATTTCAATTGAATTAAACGATGAAATGAAGTTTAATGGTGTAATGAAACTTTATTCTAAATATAAATCAAACTAGGAATGACTAAAAGAAAAAGATAATATTTCTTTTAACAAATAATGAACATATTGTGATCTTTAGAACGAATTCGCAAAAGTTTATACTTTATTTTACTTCTATAGCCCATTTTATCTGACATTTATGGTGTAGTGAATAGTAACTTTATTGTAATCCACTTTTTCACGCATTGGTTTTTATAACAAAATAATAATTAAGTTCTGCAATTTTTCATATTTCTCTGTTAAGTATTTAAAATTTTCTAGATAATTTTAGAGGTATAATTTCTGTCTTTGACTTAACTCATTACTGATTTAGTTAAAAGAATAGGTAAAGGTTTGAAAAGAGCAATAATGAATAAATGGCATGGAAAAATGAAATTACTTGATAAAAAAGATTACAAGTTAACAAGTTTAGTGTATAATCATTTTATCTGAAAATGTTGATAAATTTTCCGTATAAAAAGATTACACTGCCTGTTGATTTCGTCTTTAGAAAAAAGTTTCAAAATCTTATCGAATTTAATTATAAAAATGGAAGATAAATTTGTATCGATTATTGATCTAAGCTGTACACAAACCAGACATAAAATCATTATTGACTACTTGTTACATTAATATGCTACATAATTTACATTTCTTTTACTTTATATCTAATATACGTATTTGTTATTTATTAAAACTTTTTTAAAATAATAGTTTAATACTTAAATTAATGGATCTATTTTTTAAACTATGGATGGAATAAAATATCTATAAATTATGTTAAATTTTTGATACTATTTAACAATATACAAAAGATATAAATTGCAATAAGTTTAAAAACAGTTTTTTTTAATTAAACTGTAAATTAAATTTATTATAGAACTACATGATTAATTGAGAGTGATCAACAGATTGAAATAAAAAAGTCAGAAGAAAAAACTCGGTTTATAAACTATACTCGATCAGAACATTGATTCTTCGAAAAATAACAGCATACATACATTAAACTAAAATCAAATAAACTATTTAATGATATTTACTAATCTTTGGTAATAAATATTGCTCATAAATGTATAGTGTTAAATAAATGTAAACAGCAAAAACTTATTGATAATAAATGTTAAATAATGAGAAGTTTGTATACACTGTTTCGAAATAATAATAACAATCACAATGTTCCAGGATAAAAGTGTTACGAAAAACTATCTATAATAATAGCAATAAAAATAGTTACGATATCTTTTATGGTATGGTTATAGAAAATACAGTCAGGAGAGTTTGTTAAAACCACAAAAGAAAATTTAAGAGATAATTGATTTTTCCCTTTTTCATTTTTTAATGCAATATCGCATGAAAATAAAAACATTTTTATGCACTCAAAGTCTATAAATCACTTTTTAATTTTTTATGTAAGTTAAAACAATTTTCAAAATATATTTCCTTCACTTTAAAAGCAATTTATTTCCTTTACTAGGCACGTTTTTTTTTTCTCATGAATACTTTTCTTCAAATAATAGGTGTTTAGAAAATTTCAAAATATGGAATTTTTATGTGCGCAACACGTCGTAGATATTTACACAAAACATCATAGACATTTCCTTTTAAAATTTTACAAAAATTATTTGCTTTAGAAACGCTATTAATCCCAGTTATTGTAGTTGTAACAAAAAAAAAGAAAAAAAATGTCCTTTCATTTTGAACCTTATCCTTTTGTTTTTCCCCCAGCACTGGACACTCCACAAAAGGGTGAGTAGAAATATCAATACCTTACTCTTTCCTAAGCACCTGCACACCTTTTTTCACCTGATGATTCCTATTCCTTCCCTAACTGACCCACTCTTTCTATCTGGTGACTGATTTCAAATGAAAAAATAAACAAATGATCAAATAAATGATTTTTATTCAATGCTCTAAGATATAATGATAAAATTAAAAATTTTACAACTTTTGTAAAGTTTTATCATACATTATAATATTATATTTTGTAATTAATTTTATCAAAATGATTATTAAAGTGGTTCGGTAAAAATTACCGAGCTTTTTGGTACCGTAGAGCCAAAAACACTGTAAATATCACTGTATTCTGGTAGTTTTGACCATGCTTTTTCTTATTGTATAATTGCATATTGACAATGACATAAAATTTTTTTATTAATTGCAATATTTTTTTTTATTATTTAAATTATTTTCTAAAGTTCTTAAATTATAAATAAACATACATAGTAGATTGTGATTTTTGAAGAAGGAGACAAGTGTTATGTTCATTCTAAATAAATTTGTATTCATTCTAAATAAATTTGAAATTCAGCGTTTCTAGTTTTTCCGACTCATTACTTTCATTTTAGTGACTCATTTAAATGTATTCGCAACATTAGATTATTTTTACGGTTAAATTAAAGTTAGAATTTATAACAAATCGACTAATATGAATTTTTAAATGTTTATAAGAAATACCAAACGCAAATGAAAATTTTATTCATGATTTGCGTGCATGTATGTAAATCTTTGCTACAATGAAAAACATATTTTGTTTCGTCATAATCTGATAACATTGTATTTACGATCTCATTTCCTTAACGTTATTATTTAAAGCTAATTAGATTTTAAGAAAATGAAATATTTAAAATGTATGCATTTTTCTCTTGTAAAATATAACAATTCTGATATCCTTCAGTAGTGTTACAATAAAATCTGTCCACCTCATAAACCAGCTTATATTATACTGTTAATAACTGTAAAAACATACCGTTTTTAATAAATTTATTTTATGTAGAAATTGTTTCATAATATTATAATTAGATTTTAGCTATTTTTGAAACTTATAAATAAATAAACCAATAAAAGTATTTATGATTTCACGAATGTAAATTTTTATGAGGTTGTGATAGAAAATATGTTTTTCATTGAAGGCGTTATTTTCATATTTATATAACAATGTTAATATCAATATTAGACAATTACGTAAAACCAAATTACATTTACTGAGAGTAGAAACTTGCATAATAATATGAAGGAAACAAATATTTCAGCATTGCATTATATTTCCAAACAAACTTAAATAAAGTGTAAAAAATCATTCACATGATATTAAAAAAGATTACTTGAAATAAACTAGTTAATTTATAAGTGAATTTAGCACTGGAAATAATTCATTCAGTTCCTCGCCTTGATTTAATACATTTCAAAGAACATTTTTTTTGAAGTTAAAATTACTCAAATCTGCCAAATGAATTCTTTAAACTTTTGTTGTTGTACCTTCTAAATTTTGAGTTCTGCAATAGAACAAAAAACTGCAATGGTTTGTGTCTAACAACAAATAGAATGAAAAAATTTACCAAATAATTTTTTCAACGTGAATAAAGTGGTATCCAAATCAAGTTAAAAAAAAATTTTGCATTTATAATCAGTTAAGTACATACAGAAATGATCTTTTCTTCCGCAAGCTTTACCATTTATATTTTTAAAGCTCTTCTTAATGATTTTGTAATGATATATTAATACATGCTTGTATACAGTAGATGATATTCTATAATGATAGTTATTTTTTTGTCTCTTAAAAATTTCAATTTAGTTCTTCTAAATAATTTCCTTTTTATTAAATAAATATTGCATAGAAATATTTTTTTAAAAATCCAAAACAGAAATAATGAATAACTAACACTTTTAGAAAGTACAATGAATGTAATTGCTTTTATATTTCATTAAACATTGCTACATATTTCATTAAAAAAACATACAATAAAAATTTCGCAACTTGCAATTTAGTATCTTTACGTAGATATGTAAATATATAATAAGCCTAAATTGTTATTTATTCTTCCGTGTTATAATGTTTTATTTTCAAATGCAGCAGTGTTGCTTCGTACGTCGTTGTAAAATATTCAAACTTCAAATAAAAATTTCCCTTATATACACAAAAACATTTTCTAATATGAATGAGAACCAATTTTGTATAGCAAGTTCACCAGAAAAAGAAAGAGGTAACATTTCCCGCTATTATTGTGTCATGCATGTTAGTTGTTAGTATTAGTGTTGCTTATTTGGCGATTAGCATGATATATATATGTATCCCACACAAAGATAAATGTATCTAATTGATGTTGTAGCTTTCAGTGTATACGTTATATTCATAACTTAATTCCATTGTTAAAAGTCTAAGTGCCAAAATACACATTTTGCAAACAGTACGATAAATTTTGATGTTTTACACATGTATATATTGTTATATATTACTACTAATTCTTATCCAAAAGTCATACCAAATATCGTTTTATTATAAATTTATAAAGTTCTATGAAAATATTTCATGATTTTTATAAGTACTTGAATCTTAAAATACTTAATCATAACTTAATTTTTCATACCTATAATTCATGTTAGGAATATCAAAATTATTTACATTAACTTCAATCAGTAAGAGTTCTTATTTGAATTGATTTTAACTATAAGCATTAATTCTTAGAATATTCAGAAAATGTGTGAGTATCAGAAATTCTGTAGTTTTCAAACATAAATCTAATTTTATATTGTTTAAAAACAATGTGTTAATTTTAATAATTAAAATCATTTGCTTTTAACTACAAAAGTATGCGTTTTCTTTCAAAATAGCCAAATAAATAAAATGACGCATAATTTCTATCTTAAAAATAGTACTTTATCATTATAAAAATAACTATTTTGCCAAAGCTTTACGTTTTAGTAGAATGTTTTAGTATAGCGTAGGAACGCTAGAGAAAGCTTCATATGCTAGAACTTACTAGTTTACTTAATTTTCAATCAAATAGCGTATTTTACAGCTTATTTCATAGTTAATCTTCAGAAGCATGTTAGCTCGACTAATTTTCGCTTTTGTCGGCTGTTTGATGTCGTGAGAGTGTAGAATATTGCTGCATGTTCTATATGTTCTGTACAGCAGTGTTGGTCCCTCTTTTATCCTTAAAAGCCAACATTCATCGATGTGCTTTTTGTAACTTCTATCTATTTTTGATTGTTCTTTTTTTTCCACTGGAAAGCTTTAAGACACGCCAAATAAAGGTAATAACTTTTATACTACCAATATGGTTGGTGGTTTTAATTAAAGAACAGCAAAGCGTGTTTTAAAGTTTTCTCTACTATTTCATAACAGTGAAATTTTAAATTTAATAATTGTGATTTACTCATTTTAGAGATGGAGTGGAGATGTGCCAATCTTGGGCAACCAACACCACCCAACAGATAGACTTAGCGCTAAATATATTTTTTATGGTCTACTTTTTTATACGTGTAAGTATGAACAAAATATGAAGATTTAACAGATAGGAAAAATTAACAATTAAACTAATTCAGAGATAGCGTCACAAAATCTAAATATCTTCAATATTTACTTAATTAAAAATATCTTGCACTTTAAAAATACTCAAATTAGAAATAAGAGTTGACATGTTTCTAGCTCTCAATTTTCAAGACTTGTCAGATTTGAATAAGAAGAAACAAAAGTAAATTGAAATATAAAACTTAAAGTTGTTAATGGAAAAAGGAAAAATAAAAGTGAGGAAAAAAAAACTAGAAAAAAGCCGAGAGAGAAAAAGATGAAATATAGAAGAAGAGAAACCACACTGGCCTGGGTAAAATGCAATTCCGCGCGCTATGGGGAGATGAGGAACTAATGTCGGTAACAAGGGAATCAACATTCATATGTATAAAACAAGACTCTAGGGCCTCAAGGTGAGCTGATGTGCTTGGAGAGGAAATAATTATGGCATTTCCGTAATTGAATTTATGTCCAAGATTCCAGCACTGTGCAGTAATTGATGATTTCTCGTATTCTTGATAATGGACGTATCTATCGTTTTCCTTAAGTCTAAACTATAACGCACATTTAGTTTATTTGATGTAGCCAAGGTTACACGGAAAAGGAATGTGGTAAATGCTCCAACTATTATCAAAACTAATAGGATATCTAAGAGACGTAAATTTAATTTTAATTATAGGCTTAAAAAATGAATTAAAATTCAAAACGGTTGATAGTTTTTGAGTTTGAGTGTTGAAACATGTCAACTGTTATTTCCAATTTATATATTTTAATAAAATAATATTTTTTATTAAATAATAATATTTTTAATATTTTTATTTTTATTAAATAATAATATTGTAAATAAAATTTTTTATTAAATAATATCTTACTCTTCAGTTTCTTGGGATTGATTATTTATTTAATTTAAATATTTGTTATGTATATCAGAGCTTTTTTAATTTTTTTTTTATTGTGATCTCAACAGGTGTTGCGTTGATAAAATTGATTCGATTTAATTAATGTTAAATGCGTAGATCTTCTATTCGGTTTAGATATGACATATTTTTCGTAATGTATAGTGAAAAAACTGAAAAATGTCTGTTACAGGTGTAAATTTGCAGCTTAGTAATATTATTAACTTGAATTGAGTAATAAACTAAGTGACAGCATCACAAAACATAAAACGTTTAAATATTTACTATATTTGGTGTTTATCAAAGTTTCTCAAATTGCTAATCATGATCTCAGAGGTTTTTTTAGTTTAATTTTCAGATATTGATTACAGATATTGATTATATATGTGTAGGGAAAAAAAAGTTAGAATTTTTTTATTCTCTTCGACAAAATTATTGTTATAATTGTTCTATTCAACAAACTTCAGTAATTTTACTGAATTAACTTTTCTGGAAAAACTGTAGGTACATAACAGGAATTTTTTCACAAATTTATTAATTTATTCACAAATTAAGTTCAATTAGACTTTCCAACTAAATTCTGTGACTGATGAAGTATCAAAATTCAGAATATATTTGCTATGGTTTTATGAAATCGTGATCATTCCGGTTAATAATTAATAAAGCCAACATTCCATTTAAAAACTAAAGAAACGAAGGAATAAATAAGCAGTCATTTTAAGGGTACTAATATACCATTTATTAATTAAATTAATAAATGGTATTCATGTAAACTTTTCCAAAGTAAAATCCTAACTGTATTTATTATAATGTTATATGCTATATAACATTTATATAGAAGGGACAGTGGGACCATTTTTCTTGTTTTAAAAGGATCCCGGGTGGAAAGTGATTAAGAAGTTGTGAGGGAAGCTTTGCTTCTCCGTCATTAGCCGTATAGTTGCATAGTGTAATATATGAATGTTCATTTAGGCCAATATTGAATGAATAAAACAATTAAGTTTCCAGGAAATAATGTACAAATCGTTGAATGTAAATTTAGGTTTTATTAATCATAATTTAAGATTTCGACAGTGGCCACATCTTCATCCTAAATAAGAAATCCCTTAAAGGGATGAAATAATAATACTCTCTATTGAGAGATCATAAAGCCAGAACAACATTTCTGACGGTTAGAAAATTGAGACTGAGAGGCCCCCAAAGGGCTCCCAGCCTCCACAAATTTGAAATTCAAAGTGAATATATTTATTCTCAACGGACAGAGAAAGTATGGGTAGGAGATCCATAATTTGGCGATTTTTCCTAATAGCCAATACAAAGCCAACTAGCATATCAACATGGATGTAAAAGAACACCTTGGCGATCACGAGTCGCCAACAAATTTATGTGAATTATTACAACCATGCAACCGAAACATTTAGCCGTTGGAAAATTAGAATAAAATGTTATAAATAGATTTTTGTTTTCGATTAAAGGCGACAGTGAATATATAAGACTGCATTAGTAATGAAATAAAAAAAAGTATCCGTCACATTAATCTAGAAGAGAAGAAATAAATATTTTATGTTCATTTAAAAAGATTTAAGTTTTTGATTTATTTTAAATGTAATTCTATTAATAAAAATAAGCTTAAGTAATGAAGGATATATTAAAAAGATAGGAAATACATATGTAATGCCAATTGTGGCATCACAGAAGTCTTGGTAAATATGATTTTAAACTAAACCAAATCGGTCGTTAACCGGTTTTTCTTCTATTAAAACGAATCTCTCGGTCTGATCACGATACTTTGAGGTTCAGAAAACACAATTATTAAAATGACTTCAGTAATAATTTATTATTTAAAAATAGTATATTATATATGAGTGATTGGTGGCCCTACCGTCCAATTAACCAACGGCGATTGTTTTAACCTACATATATTTACACAATAAAAAAGCATGAAATGAACCACCTTCTCATAAAGCATTATCTCATGCTATAATTAATTAAGATAAACTATATCTAACTCATTTTTTCATTTGCATATTTCTTGAAAAAGAAGCTTTTTTTCATTTAGCATTAGACTATTCTTAAAACAATTGGGATCATATATTTACAATGAGTATTTTAATAATTTTGAATATATGACTGAAAAATATGTTTAGGCCCAATTACTTATTTATTAAATATTTTTTTAATTATATATGCTATGTAATACTGTATAAAATATTTTGAAATAGCATAAGCAAATATGTAAGTAATTTTAAATTAGAAAAAGAAATAAAAACAGTATTTAGTTTTTCTCGATTGGCATTTACAAAAATGCTTCTTTTTATGAATTATTTATTTTAAAAACAGTGAACTTTAGGTCTTATATTTATACACTACATTTTTTAAATACCAAACATCAATAGAAGAATAATTTCAAAATTTATAGATTCAAGATCTTTTAGAATTTATGCTTTATGAGTCAACTCGAATACATATTTACAATAGCATGATCCGAAATAATTTTTTAGGAAAAGATAAATATAAATCATATGATTTTATGTCTTTAAAATGGAAATCGTGTATAAATATTGTTTTATTTACACCATAAATTTTAACACGTGTATAGTTAAAATACAGAAATATCGTAAAAATAATGGATAATTGCAGGATGTAGGTATGGTATATTACACTTAATGCAAAGTTGCACTTTTATTAAAAATTTCAAACTAAAAATTTCAAATTTCAAATTTTGTCAAAATTTTAAATTTACACAAATAGAATATTATTGTAAAACAAATCTCTCATTACTCACATTTAGTACCTTTGACAAAAAATTTGAATGAAATAATTTCTTTTTTGTTTCCTTCTTTCAGTTTATAGCTGCGAGTGACAAGTTGTGGTTCATGCTGGAGTTATATTCCTTTGTTGATTACTTCACTATTCCACCGTCTTTCGTTTCAATTTACCTGGGAAGAACATGGATTGGTATAAATTTATTGTATTTACACTAACTACTTACGATAATAAAAAATATATTTTGAAGGAATCGTTACTTTATAATGCATCATTTTTATAATATGGATGAATGATTGTCGATCATTTTTTCTAAAAAATTAATAAAATTACGTTTTAGCATTTAAAATCTTGGAAGAAAAAGATTCTGAAAAATAGGGTTATGCACAGTTGAAGCCTTATTTCTTGACAAAGATTTAATTTCATATACTATTTGTCTATGAATCAATAAAAATAATTTATAAAACAAAGAAATGCTCTAAATTAAATTATTTTTACATAATTGCATAAATTTTTTTTCTCTTTCTATACCAAAGATTACTTCTCTTTTAACGCTCCGTAATATAATATGAAACTGTATTCCCATTTACAAACATCAGTTTGTCAAACATCAGTCTGTTTCTCGATTTCAGCAAAATTTGTCCCATTATCTTACGTCTCCCAAATATCTTTCATATTTTGAAGTTTATATTTTCAATATACAAATTAATGTTACTTTTAAACGAAGTAATTTCCCTCAAGTTTTAAGATAGATATTTTTTACAATCAGTATATAAAACATTTAATTAGCAATATTGTAAATTTAACAGAGAATAATTAAAATTGGAGATAAACTTAATTGTATTTAACTAAAAAGCTCAAATGTAATCGTATTTACGTTCAAATTTAAATTACTAACACTGCTTCACAAATTTAATATTAATTCATTGATAAGTACGCAATATAACATTGATTGGTAAATAAAACAACATTAAATTAAGTCGCAAATTTACTTAGCTTTAATGAATTATTTTTCATAAATTACCTTTCATAAATCTTGATTTATCCAAGCAGTAATATATTTCTCAAAAATTGACTACAGTAAATGAATAACAGTAGATTTTCCCCCATCAATTTTGTAATTAGTTTCAAAATATCTTTAATAGTTTATTTGATTTGCGAAAAAAAAATCATTATTTCTATTTCTTTAAAAAAAATATACTAAAAACACAAATTACAATGGAGCTTCAAACTCTTTTATTGCGAGACCTTTTTGTGAAAAAGGCCAGCGACATTTTTTGCGCAGTATAATAGAATTTTAAAAGTACGGTAGGAAAAGGACAGTAAAAAAATTAATTATCTTTTAAGTCTTTGTGTACTGCATTGAGCTAATGTTTTTTTACAACTTCTTGATGTTTCTATGCAATCTAATAACTATGAAAAGATGCCATTTTGCATCTTTTCTAACGTATCTTTTTTCTTATGTATTTTAAAGTTTGAAAATTAATTTGAAATTAGCAAAGGTATAAGAATTAAATGTTATATTAAAAGGTGATAGCTTCCAGTGTTCAAATATTTAAAACAAATATATATAAAGCAAATGTATTAAATTGTTAATTATTTTGGAGTATTTTTAGACTTTAACCAATTTTTTCAAATTCTTTTAGGCCTTCGCTTTTTGCGTGCCCTTCGTCTTATGTCTGTTCCCGACATCCTACAATACTTGAATGTTCTCAAGACCAGCAGTTCGATCCGCCTTGCTCAGCTGGTGTCTATTGTCATCAGCGTATGGTTGACAGCAGCAGGTGTTATACACCTAGTAAGTTTACTAAACAATTTTGTTATTCTAATTTAAATAGCTTTCAAAGATAGTTATATATTTTTCATGATTTATGGCTAAAATTTATCAAATCAAAGGTAAAATATTAAGAGTTATTTTGGGGCGAGTTCTACTTAAAAATTTATTTATCAAAGTAGATACTGTGAATTGAACAATATTTCTTCATTAGAAAATAGTGAAATCTTTGTTTCACATATTGTTACATTAATTTATATCGTTTAAATATCATAGTAATCCTTTAGGTAGTGGTTTAAAAATTTTGTTTGCAATTATCAATAATTCTGTATATCATACACTAAAACTAAATTTAATTCTTCTTTTTTTCAAAGGGGCATCTTATTTGATATCAATCCAAATCTATTTTTTTTTAAATTGGGGACTTATTTAAAAGCGTTAATAAATTTAAAAACTGTATAACTATTTGTCTTAAAGCTAATTAAATTCCCCCAGAATTATTAAAATAAATTAATCAGAGTAGAAAAACTGTGCTTCAAATTCGTAAAATAATATAATTTATTTATGCAAAAACGAAAAAAATGTTAACGTAATCATAGTATTTTCATTACAAAATATTTAATTACCTGTGTATAAGTATAATTGTGAATAATTTGATTAAAGCTAATATACACAAAAGCTGGTGTAAAGCAATAACTAAAATGTTTACTAATTTGAGAGAATAAGAATCGTGGTGATTTGAACAATGAATAGTAATGTATTTTCATAAAAAAAAAACTTTCTTATTTGTTAACCATGAAAATCTAGTTTAATTTCTACTGGGGAAAACAATTTACTTTCTAATTTAAAGATAAAGATGTTTGAAAATCACATAGCACAAAGAATTTCAAAAACACATCTGACTCATAATTATATTGTACAGAAACTTTTTAGAAAATCTGCAAAACGCATTTACTTTCTCCTCAAGCATAGAAATGTTCTATTTTCTGTAACCAAAATAAAAACTTTTTATTTACTCTTTTAATCGTCTTATAAACATTGAAAAATTCTTTTGATTACTTTCAAGAGCAATATCATTTATTCGATACGACATATTCCTCTAGTAGACAAGACTATGTAGACAATCTATGTAGAAAATCTATGTAGACAATCTATGTAGAATGTACTAGACAAGACTATGTAGAAAATCATATATTTTTTTTCTTCGCTACTCAAACTGAGATTTTAATGAACAATTTTCTGTTATGATTACTTTATCTCACCTTTCGGAAAATCTTAATAATATTAAACTTCTACCTAAAGTGAAGTATTTCGAAAAAAAAAATATATCTAAAAAACCATTCAAATATCGAAAAATTATATTTTCAAGATAACCTCCTATAAACGCATAGCAATTATTATTCGTTTTAGTTAAAATTGATTTTGAACACGAATGGAATATTTTATGCTGCATGGGAATAAATTGAGATTATTAGTATTTAGCGGAAGTATTTGAAAATTATTTCAAGTTTGTTTATAATACTTAGTTAAACATGAGACATAACTTATTTGCACATTTTAGTTCATTTTTTAATAACTCAATTTTAAAATTAACATTATCTGCTAAAATATGATTTATGAATACAAATTGTAAGTAATTCGATACTAAATTTTTTAAAGAAAGGATTACGCATTGAAAAGTATGAATTTTTTTATAATTTATATAATAAGAATCATGCGTTTTTTATGTTCGGCAAATATCATCATCTTCTAAATAGTAAGTATCTATATGATATTTAAACTATTATTTACCATTAACTTATTCACAATCCATTAATTTACAGTTAGAAAACTCTTAAAACTGTTATTTACCATTAACTTATTCATAATCCATTAATTTGCGGTTAGAAAACTCTTAAAACTATTATTTACCATTAACTTATTCACAATCCATTAATTTACAGTTAGGAAACTCCTAAAACTATTATTTACCATTAACTTATTCACAATCCATTAATTTACAGTTAGAAAACTCTTAAAACTATTATTTACCATTAACTTATTCACAATCCTTTAATTTACAGTTAGAAAACTCCGGAGATCCTTTGGATTTCGTAAATCCTCAAAGCCTGACCTATTGGGAGTGCGTCTACTTCCTGATTGTCACCATGTCTACGGTCGGTTACGGAGATATCTACTGTCAAACGTCCTTGGGGCGGGCCTTCATCGTGTTTTTTATTCTCGTCGGTTTGGTAAGTACCTCACCAAATTTAATTAACTAATTTATTTATGTATTGCAATCTAATACAAAAACCAAACTATAACATTCGATATTTTATAATTACATTAATATAAATTTTGATGCTAATTTACTACAATACGATTTATATTTTACTTCATAAGGTTTTTGCAATAAGAATCTTCAAAAAAATTTTTTTCTTGTAATCATTTTGCTTAATAGACACATGGTTCTGGGCTAAACTCATGTAATTAGATTTATAATGTTTTTCATTTGAGGACAAGCCATTGATTTATATCAGACATATTTTAAATTTCGTTGAAAACCTCGAAAATATTTGGACATATTCTGCGTTATAAAAAGGAACTTTTAGAAGGGACTGATTTTTTGATGATTATTCCCACATTTAATAATGCATCACTTTTTAAAAATGTTTCAAAAGAAATTAATAATTTTATTAGAAAGAAAACTATTAAAATATTTAATATCGGGGGCAATAATGATGATTTTACATCTTATGATAATATAAGAAGAAATGGAATGGTTTTATTTATACCTTACATGAAGTCTAAGCTGATACGAGATTGCTTTGCTAGATATTACGCAAACATTCAAAACATTACTTTTGTCACGTTTCTCAATAATAATTATAATGATTTTATTCCAGCAAAGTTAACCTTTTTTTAGTTATCGATCCATTAGCATGCAGTTACTCATAAATTTATCAAGGTTCACAAAATTTATGAGTAAAAGCATTCTACTTCTTTATATAACGAGAACGGGGTTGCAATACGATTCGTGCGTGTATAATCAATCGGTAATTATTTGTAACATATGCACACTTTTCAGGCCGTCTTTGCCAGTTGCATCCCAGAGATCCTAGAGTTAGTGGGAACTAGACCTAAATATGGCGGTGAATTCAGACGTGAGCACGGAAAAAGGTATAACCGTGTATATTTATGAGCTGAAAGAAAAAAAAAATGGTGTCATCGCCTGTAAAGTTGTTGCTCGCTGTGTTCCTTCTTTATTCTACCTCTTCTTCTTTCTTTGTCTGCTATGATTGATGGGCTTTCCCAAAGGAAGGTTTTAGCGTGTAATATTTATCAAGCTAATTTCCCACACAGCTCAAAATGATAATTATTATGAAAATAATAGTCATTATTATTATTTAATGCGATAATTAAATTACATGTTAATTTTAAATAAAACGCGTGTATAGATCAAAACTTTCTAGAAAGTAGCATGTATTACTCTTTAAAAATATAAGAATGCCGGTTTCATCAACAAGCAATATTAACACTTTTTGTTTACATTTTTAAAAGAAATTGTAATCATTGTTAGCGCATTGCAAATTAGTTTCCAATTTCATAATATGCTGCAACCTAATAAGAGAGGGATTCTAATCTATTTGGGATCAACGACGCAATTTTATTAGTGCCATTATTATTGGTGTTATCTATTAGTAATGTTTGATAAGATAACACTTGCAATTGCAATAATTAAATATTCACATGAAAGTATCAGTATTTTATTATAATAAGTATTAAAGAGCATGACAATGGTCTGAGTTTGCATCTTGTGGCATAGTAATGACATAATAAGTGAAGGCTAACATTCGTAAGCAGCATGATTTCTTTTTACAAATAAATTAAATTATAAACACAGTTGAACAAAACAAACATGTTAAGTAGGTTTTTTCCTTCAGTTCAGTTTAGTCTTTGAATATATCTAGCAAAACTTTATATCAACAAAACAAACTTTACTCAACAAAATTTTATATATAAATCATTTTTTAAAATTAAATAACGATATTTAAAAATAACTAAAAATATTACTGGAATTTTTGAGGCGGTTTCTGTCTGCAATTTCAAAAACATATTTTTTAAAAAAATAAAATTTTTGTGCTGTGTGGATGGCTATTATTCATTTTACTTCAAGACAATTCGTAAGTTCTTTTTATAACTTTAAAGTTATCAATTATAAGCATATTTGTTATGATAATCTTAAACTCAAGAAGAATTAAGCACATTAAAAAAATTATAAGAAAGAAAATGTTTATTATCAGAATCAACGCGATGCTACGCTTGAAACTTTCCCTTGGCTGATTCTTGCTATGTGCATATAAGTGTTTATTTCATAGTAGGTTTTAATGAAAGTGATTGCTCTGAAACCAAGTAAGAAAAATAAATTTAGAAGTGGGCACATAATAAATAAACAGATTCGTATAAAAAACCTTAGAAGAAAGATACTGGAGACGGGCACTTTCCACAGTAGTGTCTTCATTTTTCTTCTACTTACTTCAATTAACTGAAAAATAGTAATGAATACATTCTTCTAAGTCAACATTTTGTACTCTTCTTTTAAATCGAGTTAAATTTGCAAAATGTTTGAGCGAAGTATGTTAACAAAACTTTACGTAACTATACGTTAATCCATAGATATAAAACATTAATACTTGTATTCTTCGTGTCAATATTCCTTTTAAACTATTTTACTTTTTTTCGGAATATACTATATTTCAACTTTACTGCATTTTGTAAAAGTAAACAGTAGATGTGCTTAACATATTTCTTATAATTTAAAAGCAAAATTTCTTAAAACTAACGTTAAGAAAAAGTAACATTTATATAATCCTTTTCTCAAAATAAGAAACATTATAAGCAGTAATCCTTTTATTCAATAACCTTAACTTGAGTGCTGAATAAAATCTATTTTAAGAGATTCTCTTTATCTGCCTAACGCATTAGTATAGAATTCGAAAACCGTTACATGGTTGCTAAATATTTTTATTTTATTAAAATTCGTTATTATTTCTCACAGTTTCGTCATCGCCAACGCATTTGAATGCGTAAAGCCTAAAGGATTCCTGACAACAAATTAAAACAATTAATAGCCAAATACATGGATTTATTACCTTTCTTTGGCGAATAATATTCTAACATCTACATATTACACTTTCAATTTAGATTTCTTAATAGGCGGAGGTGTATTGTCGGGCTTGTCCTAGAATTATATCCTCCGGGCTATCTTCTAAATTAATAATTTTACTGTTTAAATATTCATTTTTGCAAAGAATCACCAGAACTCCTGAAAATCAAAAATAGAAACTTATTAATTTTTTATAATTAATCTAAAAAAGTACTTCCATTTTTTTACATGTTGAGCGGGTGTATAGGTCATGCAAGAATTTGCGTAACACATTTTCTAGAATTTAAAAACCAAATTTCATAAAATTAACATTACTGAAATGTAACATTCATTCAATTCTTTTCTTAAAAAATAAAAAGCATTAACATAAGGTAATCTTTTTTCTATAACATTGACTTGAGTGCAGAGTAAAATCTATTTTTTATTAGATTCTCTCTATATACGTATGTCTAACACAGTGGCGTAGAATTTTAAAACCATTACATGGTTGCTAAATGTTTTGATTTTATTAAAATTCGTTATTATTTTTCACACTTTCCTTGCCACCAACATATTTAAATGCTTAAGGCTAAGAAAAAGAGCCTTGACAATAAGTTAAAGCAATTAATAGCTAATACGTATATTCGTTAACTTTCCTTATCGAGTAACGTTCTAACAACTACATAGCATTTGCATTTTGATTTCTTGATGGACGAGTTGTTTTGTGGGTCTTACCGCTTAACTCACACCTTTCTGGCTATTTTCAAAATTAATAATTTTATAGTTTAGATGTTCATTTTTGCAAAGAATCACTAGAACTCCTGATCATCAAAAATGCATCATATTATTTTGTTATTAATTTTATATGACTCCATTAAATTTGTTTAGCTATATGAACATTTTTTTTTCATAATTGTGAAAGGGAAATATGGAGAAGTGGATAATAATTTTCTTCTAAGATTACTTAACTTCATCAGCATATTTCTTCAAGCGCTATCCGTTTCACATCAGCAACCAATTCCTCTTCAATAAATGATAATCAGCAATTACAGGATAAATAATTTAATTCCAACTTTCTCCACCGAATACAAAATTTTCCTTCACAAAATTTATTATAAGGAGGGAATAGTTTTCATGAAATTTATTTTTTAAATCATAAGAAATATGTTATGCATGTCTTGGTATGACATGAACCTACGTTTTCGTTAAAGTTAAACCAAACATCAAATTATAATGTATGCAAGTATTCAAGATTAAAATTTTGTAACATAAGAAATTAAATTATTTGATGATTAGTAAGCATAAAATAATATCTGTTTCAAAGTGTCCCAATAATTTATACAGATTACGTTTAAAGAACTTTAACTGTTAATTTTTCACACGTAATGTTTTTTCCCTCATCAGTTATAAACATTTTTACCAATATTGTTACATCGCACCATGTTCACTACCAATGTTGGTCTGTAAATAACCTAGAATCTATATATATGTAGCACAGACCAAATATGGTTTTCAATAAGAAATAAAATTTATAAATAAATTTAAAAAAAAAACATTTTTACAATATAATTAATTTCCCCCCCTTTTGCATTTGCTTAATCTAAAGCTCTGAGAGTTTTTATCGGCTTTTCTCATAGCTGAAAAAATTACTCTCTCTCTCTCTCTCTCATACAGCTTAGAAAGTTAAATCGTTTTCTGTTAAAAACAATAATAGAACCATAAGTTGCAATTAGTTTTTATGTGGGTAAGAACTCAGAGTCAATTTTTCGCAGAGCAATCATTATTCATTTTTTGCCATTCCAATTAAAATGCAACGCAAGAAAAAAATTTTGCTAAGTATTTTGTGGATTGTGTTGATGTTGATAGTCTTTGAAGTTATGAGAAAAAAAACCAGAACTATTTTCTTTCTTTCCTTGTATTCTTTCCTCTCTGTCTGCACGTGTGCACCTCGTCATCATCGCTTCCTCGTCTTGCACGTCATGTGTCTTCTCCCGACCAATGGTAGGCGGTGTTTGCTAGCTGCATTCCGGAGATCATTGATCTGATTGGTTCCCGGCCGAAATACGGGGGAACCTTCAAGTCCGAACGAGGTCGAAGGTAAACAAAATCGTTAATAAAAAATTGTAGTTACACCCAAAGTAGTTCACATTTAAAAACCTAATCGATATTAGATATTTACATTTTTCAAAGTTTATATTTCCTATTTCTTATCACCGATTTTATCCCTTCTCTCAGGAAGATGGAATCTCAAAGTTTTACCCTCAATACATGCTAAAATCAATAATTTTTTTTTTTTTAAATCATAAAAATGAGTGTCATGTACATAAAAAACGAATAAGAGAAACAAACATAAAGATTTATTCATATTGTACATTATCAGAATGGCTAAGTTACATTTTTTTAAAGAATTTTGTTAATAAACTAATAATGCCACAATTTTAAAACTTAATAAAAAAAATTAAAAAAACATATTAGGAACTAGAGATTTATGTAAAAAAAAAAATTATAAATATGAATTTGTCAAGTTCTTAGAGTTGAGCATTATTTGACTGTTTAAACCATAGCTGCAAAAAAAAAAAAAAAAAAAAAAAAAAAAAAAAAAAAAAAAAAAAAAAAAAAAAAAAAANAAAAAAAAAAAAAAAAAAAAAAAAAAAACAGCTATTATGTAATTAAAGAGATGCAAAATAAAGCCATAAATTTTGCCGTAAATTTTCATCTTAATACATTATAATCGCTCTGATGAGTTTTAAAACTATATTACTTCAGAAGCTGAATTTAATAGATTAACATTTATTCGCAAGTACTCGTTGCATTTTCCGTGTAAGAGCAATAACACTGGGTGTTTCCAAGGAGCTAAATTTTAAAAAAAGTAAAGTAGACCAGGATTTATAAAAACAGGCACTTAGTGTAAGGAAACTCGAAAAGTCTTCTGAGTGATTGACTAAAATCTTTCCTGCTTTATTGCTTTTCTGAGATAATTTTTTTTTTCAATGTGAAAACGGGGTAGGCAGAAAACTTTTTTCATGTAAACTTTTGATGCTGTTTTAGATTTTAGTTGTTGAACCTATTTTTATGTTCTCAGAGATAATTCAATACTAGTTCTGGGCTACAACCATTCATCGCCGTTATCAGCTCGTTGCTTTCCTAAAATACGAACTGCATTCTCGCTGTTAGGTCATTTCTTGAATGGTACACTGTTAGAATTTCCATTCCAAAATTGCAAAAAAAATAACAAGCAGCAATTTGTCCATTTAATTAACTGTAAATTTTTCGGTAAGGAACATTTTTTACCCTCACGGTTTTGAAACCATTTACAATTAGCATGATTAAAAAACCCCGAATACAAAGCAACGAATTTTTTTTAACCATTTACAACAAACAAGGCTTCAAAACCGTAAAAAAAAGCAAATGGGCATTGGAGCAAGGATTTTTTTTGGTAATGTGCATTAGGTTGTGGTTGAGTTGTATTTTTTTTCCAAATGAATCGTGGAATTTAGTTTAATTAATTTATCACCTGTTTCACCTATCGTAAGAAATGACAAGTACTAGATTATATTTTTTTTTGTGTTAAGCAGCTTTATGGTGCAGCCATCTATGCGAAAATGAGAGTATCGTTTTCGAACAGTCCATGGTCACAAATTGGGGAGTGCAGGACATTGCAAATTCTTTGCGTGTTGAAGGGAATGGAGGAAACATTGTGGTGTCAACGCTTGAATTCGAAACCCAGTTCTGTCGGCCATGAGATTGACAGTTAAGCCCTCTCGGCTGAAACATGCCCGCGGATGCAAGAAATAAAGTGGTTTAATTAGGTGCCCCTTGTTGGTGCGATGAAATTCCGGTTGCTCAACCGTAATAGGTTAAAGCTGTATAAACGGTTATACTCACAGTTAACAGTTTGAAAATCATCTTATTTAAAGTTAATTGACTGTTTTGTTTGAATATGGTAAAATAACAATAAAATAAATTGTTATTTAACAATTTTTCTCGAGAAATTTCTAACAGTGTATTCAGAGGTAATGCAACACATACTCTCTTTTTAGGTGGTTAATGCTGATAGTAAAATTTTTTGTTTCATCCATGCAAACTTTTTTTAACGATTTCCTTATTTGGTTTGCGCTGCTATTCGCTAAAGAAAGTGTTTTCTTGATTACTCTTAATTTTCTTAGTAACACAGAATTGGAAAAAAGTTTTTAGTGAATTCGTGCGATGAAATTAATGTAAATGGAATTCAAAAATGTATACACAATTTTTTAATGGAAACTCAGGGCCCTTATCTGATACATCTATGAAAGTCTTTTCCCCAGATCCTCTATATATTTTATCTATAAATTTTTCCTCTATATATTTGGTGAAATATCTTTTAAATGGCTATATAGTGATTTATCTTAATTGTTTTTAAATAATTGTGAACAGTTTTCAATTTTTTTTTTATTCTTCCAAATTCAAAAATTTACGTGCATCAAACATCTCTTTTTTTTTTCAAAACAAATTCAACAAATAACATATAAAAATTATACTTAAAGGTTTTATACTTTTCACTCGACAATCGCTTACAGCAATCGCAAACCTGCAAATCTTTTAGATTTGCTTGATGCAATCCAAATAGCTAATATGATTTTAAATTATTGACGTTCTTTTAAAAAAATTAAAAACAGATCTGATGATTTACAACCTGAAATTCCAATAGTTTTCAAATTAGAGCACTGCAGGGATAACCGCAGTTTGCAGCCTGCTAAACAAGATATTGATTTTTTATTGATTTTAAAAAAGACGAAAGTCAGAAAAAAGTCTCAACAATCTTTATCGAGCTGAAAGGCACGATATCATGTGAGATTTGTTTAAGGATAATAAATTACAATTAAGACATTGCATTAAATACTTAACTAGCCAAAATAAACAAGGTACAATGGTTTTAAATGTAAAGGTTTAAAATTATGCGATTTAAAAACAAATTCTACAAAAATAGACTTTTTAATTCCAGAGACTTAAACTTCAATATCTATTATGTTATTTTTCACGTTTTGCACCAATTCTTCTTCTTTGAAAACTTAAAAATTTTGAATATGATTTTTTAAAAAAAATCAAAAACAATTTCATGTTAAAGTAGTTATATACTCGTATTTCTTTATTGTCAATTATATTATGAATTAATGAATATAATTAAAATGTAAAAATAATTCAAATTTGAAATTTTTTTTGACTAAATGGTATCCAAAAGTTAACCGTCGTGAAATTGCGACTACTTATTAAAAACAATAATCTTTAAAACTATTATTTTACAAAAGTGGCATAATTTTTTCCTGGTAATTCAAGATTTTCTTAAAAATTTGCTTAAAATTATACTTCACACAAATTTGGTATGTAAAAATATTTAGATGCAAATTTAAAAATTACGTTAGTGGCATACTAGCAACTAAACATTTCTGGTAAATTTGAAATAATTAAATAAGATTGACAGAAAGAATAATTGCAATTTTTTTAAAAGTAATCGTAGATCAAATAGAGATAACATTCAGTTCAAAAATGCATTACCGTGCATGTGCATAAAAAATAAAGTACAAGAATTTAAAAAAAAAAAAAGAAAAAAGAAACAAGATTGCAAAAATAGCACTACAACAATGTCATTTTTAACCATCAGCCTTTATAAAGATCCATATTCATAAAAAACTTAATCGCTGTTTGAGATAGAAATATTATCATTTGTTGATTAAAAATATATACCCGAATATAAAATTATATACCAATATACGCCCTGCAAAATCTGTCAAATGTAAGAGACAATTAATAACAGTTAAAACGTCAATAGACTGAAAGTTGCTCTCATTCTAGCCCCAAGAGATACAATTTGAATTTTTATAACCATTTTAGTGTAAATTTGGCTTTACTAGGAACGAAAATCCCAACTTAGTACACAGGCTTTTAAATTTTGATTTTAATCGCAAAATAGAAATAGAAATACAAATTGATCAAAGTAATAATTTATTAAAATGGAGATATACTGAGAATATATTTCCAAAATAACGAAAAAATTAAAACATTCATGTTTTATATTTTGGAAAACTATATAATGACATCAAACTCGGTCCGTTCTTTGGAGTTACGCATACTCATCGCTAGGGGGGACAACAAAATGGATGCATTTGATATCATTGATAACATTTTTGAACATATTTTTAGATTTTTCTCTCAAGATATTTTTAACTATTTTCATACTCTTTTAAGACACCCAGATAAGTGTAAGGCAAGTTTTTTCCTGTTCAAAATCTGTAAAAATTATAATAACCAGCGATGCACGGAATGCTTAGTGGGAGTATGGTTTAAAATATTGAACTTAATAGTCTTTTAATTTTGAACAAAAACCGATTTTGATGGTTTTATTTTAATGAGGATTAGAGCAAATACGTTTTCGAGCTTTGTGATACTGTCCTGCATTCACGTTATCGCAAAAGCACCTATAAGTCAACTCAACCGGAGTTCATCTATCAAAAAGTACTAAGCTTTAAAAAGTAAAATTTAAGAAACACGATTTTTTAATGAAATTTCATTGCTCAGCTAGAAGGATTTTGCTCGAGTTTTTAATTTTGTCATTTAGAATTGCATAACTTGAAGTGAGATAAAATTTTTTATACCTTATATTCCCGTGTTTGATTTCGTAACTTGAAATATCGTTATAATTATAAATATATATAAATTATTAACGCTTTAAAGTAAGACCTTCGAATTTTTACGATTGCATCTGAATACGAGAAAATAGATCATTCGATTAAAATATAAAGCGTTTCATTTTCCAATTTGCATATTGTACACTTCATATCAACATAACAACCCCGGTTTGGTCATAGTTTCTGCCAATTAAATTTGTTACAAAAGTACACTCTTGCTACCGTATGTATTTGCCGTATGTATTGCATTCACGTTATCTAAGTAAGAGCTCGCAAAAGCACCTAAGTCAACTCAACCGGAGTTCATCTATCAAAAAGTACTAAGCTTTAAAAAGTGAAATTTAAAAACCACGATTTCTAATTGAAATTTCATTACTCAGTTCGAAGGATTTTGCTCGAGTTTTTTTATTTTGTCATTTAAAATTGCATAATTTGAAATGAGATAAATTTTTTTATACCTTACATTCCCGTGTTTAATTTCGTAACTTAAAATATCGTTATAATTATAAATATACATAAACAATTAACGTTTCCAAAGTAAGATCCTCAAATTTTTACGATTGCATCTAAATACGAGAAAATAGATCATTCGATTAAAAGATATTAAAGTGTTCCATTTTCCATTTTGCATATTGTGCACTTCATATAAACTATAACAACCCCGGTTTGGTTATAGTTTCTGCCAATTAAATTTGTCGCAAAAGTACACTCTTGCTACCGTATGTATTTGCCGTATGTATTGCATTCACGTTATCTAAGTAAGAGCTCGCAAAAGCACCTAAGTCAACTCAACCGGAGTTCATCTATCAAAAAGTACTAAGCTTTAAAAAGTGAAATTTAAAAACCACGATTTCTAATTGAAATTTCATTACTCAGTTCGAGGGATTTTGCTCGAGTTTTTTTATTTTGTCATTTAAAATTGCATAATTTGAAATGAGATAAATTTTTTTATACCTTACATTCCCGTGTATATGCTAAAACTTAAAGCAGCCTGAACTTTTATAAATTTATAACATTAAAAACTAAATTAACTCTGATTTCCAATTCTAATAACGATTTCATAGCTATTGTTTCTCTTAAATTTAGAAACGGACCACATACCAATACAGGTTTGTTTTATTAATAATTATAAAGTGAAGTTCCATCTTCCACGGGTTTCTATCCCTTTACTTGCACGATTTCTTATCTTTCTCAAGTACTAATATACTAACACTAAAATCTAATCACACATAGTTTTGCCTGCACTTCATTCAACTTCTGCAATAGATTTTATAAGGAAAGGTAAATCAGTAGTCTGCTTAATGAAAAATCTTTTTAAATATGTCTGAAGAAGTAGTCAAAGTAGTATGAAGAAGTAGTATGGATAAAAGTAATGAATATAAATATAAACTACTAGAATGTCTAAAATTTAGAACGCAGAGTTACAAAAATAATTTGTCTCGAAAGTGACATTAGAAAGCATGTAATTTGTATCACACACATAACAATGAGTTTAGATATCATTTCTAAAATTCCACTTCAATTTAGCACGTTAAAGAAAACTTTTATTATTACATTTTCCTTAAATAATATTATTTTTACTTCTACTAATGCTTTTTAAAGGATGAAAGAGCCCATAAAAAATGCAAAGAAATCTATTTGGTTTTATATCTTAAAATATATATTTATCAAATCAAAATTATTATTTTAATCTAGCATCTCTCTACTTTTCATAACGAAAAAAAACCCAAATAAAATACTTGTTTGTTAAATAAAAATACACAAACACATTTAATAGTATATTTTTTTTGTATTTAATAAATTTAATATTAATACTAAACTAAGGAAAGATAAATAGATTTAAAAATATGCAATATTAGAAAAAGATATAAATATTAGATATTAAAGAATTAATGAAAATAAATTATCGTTAAAAATGAAAAACTTTAACTGAATTTCATTAGTTGAAAAAAACTAAATTCATACAATTAATTGTGCAAAACTTTTTCTTAAGCATAATGAGGTTATCAATAAAAATTCAGTAATAAAAAATTTATTATAAATTAGCTATTTACAACAAATTATGCAAATAGATATAAACATAATATTTAATTTTTTTGGATGAGGTAAATGGGGTAAAATCCATTTTATCAAATAGTCCTTAAGGAACAGAACTTGAAAAAATTTTAGTAATTGAACAAATAAGATCTTTTACAATGTTTAGTTGAATAATAAAATGCTCAAATAATCACTAAAGGAAATTAAACAATGACATCTTTAGCTTTATCTCTTTTTGCATGGGACGCTACTTGCCTTGCTTTGCTCTCGAGTGCATGTATTAAGATTGATATTGCTACTGCATGCTTTGTGATTGTATAAAATGTTAGATAGTATAGTTTATTGTGAAATAACCATAGCTTTCTCTTTCAGAAAAAAAATCCTGGTAATTTAAATAATAATAATAGCAATTTAAATTTTTTTAAAACTTTTGTGGGTAATATTTGCAATCTTTGTAAATATTCTCATCTTTTTTTTAAAACTGTTTACTGAAAATATAAGTATAATTGAATATCATTCACAACTACAACATAATCAATAAATTATATATATAACTAACGTATTTAGAGAATTTTCAAGCATTGTATCTTTTCTTTCAAAACTTTGAGTTTTAATTAAATTTGATTATTCGAGAAGTAATTTTAAATAGAACAGAAAAGCTATTACTGATTTCTTATCTTTCAGACTTTTTTTAATTTTAAATAACTTTAAAAAGAAGAATGTTCAAAACTAAAATAATTAATTTGCTTCTAAATCTTTTTCCTCAAGTATTAAGATTTCGTAATGAATTAATTCTGTTTAAAATACTACAAATAGAAATTTATGTTTCAGAAATAAATTTGCAGAAATTTGCGGGTTCTTGTTAAAATATTTATTCTGTTAAAACTAAAATTAAAAGCAACCAAAAATAACAATTATTAAATACTTTTGATTCACGAAATCGATAATGTAAGTTTAATTCTAGTAAACTAATTCTTATTTAAGGTTAATTAAGCTTTCGTTAACTTATTATTTTCTCACAATTACATTCATAAAATGCAGATTTCTTTATCAATTGATTTAGTAATCTAATAAATTTTAAATCTTCGAAAACTTTATCAACTTCTTTACTTTTTAATGTGAATCCTTGAGAAAAAAAAAGACAGCTTTATTTAGACATTGAAATCCAGTTTAAAAAAGTACTTGAAGAAGTAATTGTAATACTTAGCTTAAGATTGCTTGAAAATAGTTTAAGATTTTTTTAAATTATGAGCAATAAAAAAATATTTCAACTGAAATAAATTGTTATTTCAGAGAATCAGGATGTATTTGTTTCCTATGAATGATTAATTACTTCTGTCATAGAAGCTGCATTTTTAGGTAGAAGTAAATTAAACAAATTTATCAATTACTAAGCAATTTTTTTGTTAATATTTCGCCAAAAATTTTTTTGATCTACACTAAACTGGAAAATTTTTTAACTTATAAAACATTCCATTGAATATATATTCATAAAATTATGAAATAATAGAAAAATCATTAATGTGATAAAATATAAATGTTTTAATGTGAAAAGACATATCAATACAGATATTTAAATATCTGTTAATACAGACAGTCCAACTAATATCTATAATATCAATCTGACTAAATATCTGTTGTTACAGGCAAAATAGTATCCTTAATGTGTATCTGACTAAATATTTGTTAATACAGAATTCAACTAATCTGTAAATACAGACATTTAAATATTTGTCAATAGAGATTGTTATAAACTAATACTCATCCTAACTATGTATCTATTAATACAGAAATAGAAGTTAATCTGTATTTATAAACATTTAAATATCTGTTACTGTATTTCACGTAATATTATAAATAACTGCGCATAATACTGAAATCAACACTATTTCATTACTTTATATTTATAACTTTTTTTTGTACAATTTGTCTAATCATATAGTAAGAATTTCTGATATTATTTCCAGGCATATCGTAGTTTGTGGGCATATTACTTATGAGTCTGTGTCTCACTTTCTTAAGGATTTCCTTCATGAGGACCGTGAAGATGTTGATGTAGAAGTTGTGTTCTTACACAGGTAAACTTGGAAAGAGAAGTAAATAAGACCTTTTGAGGTCGTTAATGGAGATTGAAAGTTATAAACTGTTTAAGTGAGGAATAAAAAACGTTCTTAAAATTTGACAAATCGGCTTATGAAATTAAATAAATAAAAACCAGTGTGATTACCTTTGTAGAATTAAACGCCTTTCTAATTGTCCCCTTTCACCTAAATTCTCAGTTTCGTCTGACAAATATGTTACATTATTCTTAATTTCACCTTTCTCGTCATATATTCGTTATATAGATTTTTTCCTTTTTTTACCGGGCCTAAATATTGATTTGAAAACCCTATTGTGTATATTATTTTACAATTTTTTAAAAGAATTTTAAAAAAAAAATATTTATTAAGTGCGGTGATTTAATGCTGTCTAAATAATTAATAAGTGTTTGATTAAGTTAAAGGTATATATGTGAATACTCTGTTGATAAAGTATTAAAACCAAACGGCTCTAATTAGTACTCGTACAAAGTCAAGTATTTTTATATTATTAAATGTAACAAAATATCATTTACTTATTTTTTCTTATATTTCTACCATATCAATAAATATTAAATTTTTATCCTTTTGTGTTTCCTAGTTCTTAATTAAATATTGAACTATTTTGAAAAATCAGGCTTCGGGTAAATATCTTGCGTACCTGATATGCAAAATTGGCATTATATTTTCGAATGTTTTTTTTATACATTAATACTAATTAAATTTTTGTGTATTGTTTTGTATTACACTTCGATTTCAACGAAAGTCACCTTGCTAAAATTGATGTAATGATAAAATATATGACAAATGATGTGCACTCACTCATTAATAAACGACCTATCACTTAAATAAGTTACTATTTCCAAACCTTTACTAACTCACTAATTTATGCAAAACTTCTAATAAAAAAATTGGTAAATGTTAGCAATTACGCGAAATAGTGTATTAAATAATTCATATGAATTAAAATTAGTTATTAATACATTAATTTTCGCATCACCAGAAAACCACCGGATTTGGAGCTGGAGGGTTTGATAAAAAGGCACTTCACAACTGTGGAGTTTTTCCAAGGCAGCGTCATGAACACCATAGACCTCCAGCGAGTGAAGGTAAATCATTTTTTTCCAACCCAAAATATTACATTTAAGTTTAAAGATAAAATATGTATATATTTAAAACAATATGAATGAAGTATGCATAAAGAATGCGTTTAATATGGTTATAGAAACACACTCTGAGAATCATTATTTATCTAAATCAATCAATATCCTTTAACTGAATGTCTTTCAATAAAGTATGGCATCAAGTGTTTTAAAGAAGAAACCTATTTTTAGCTTTAAAAAAATCTGCGTCGAGTAGTTAGGTGGCAAAAATTTACTTTAGAAAGCGTAGTTCTGAGCAATTTTTTGCTTATAAATAAGTTATAAGTTCCTTATTTATAAGTTTTATACTTATAATAAATAAGACACAACTTTTTTTATTATTATTAAAAAATTAAATTACAAATTAGAAAACACAATTATAAAAATTTTGTGTCTGTAACATTTACAATTTCGTGTTTGTAAATCTGCTCAAATTCCGCTGTAATAAATAAATTAGTCCATTTCAGTGTCCAGCTTAATAGCCTTGAAAGAGTAGGAGCACAATTCTTCATTTTTAATATTTACCCGAGAGAAGTAATTAAAGTGCAAATGTTCAACCACATTTTTCAGTACGAATAATGTCGTTCTTAAATCACACAGGTACACGAAGCAGATGCTTGCCTGGTGCTAGCCAACAAATACTGTCAAGATCCCGATGCAGAAGATGCTGCCAACATTATGAGGGTCATCTCCATTAAAAACTATTCAGATGAAATCAGGGTCATCATCCAGCTCATGCAATATCATAATAAAGTATTGCATTCCTTGTTGTATCAGTTATATATGGAAATTGAAAATAAGCGAAAAATTTATTTTGAGACTTTAGAGAAACACTTTTTCAAAAGTGCTGTTTAGTATAATTTTAAGATTTAATTTTGATGAATTTTTTCGGTTTTCAAAGCCTTTTTTTAATTTAGTGTTGTAAAATAAGTTGAAAACTTTGAAATATTTCAGTATTCTATTTATCAATTATTGTTTAAAAAAATTATTTCAAAAATTCTCTCTGAGAAGTGCAATTTTTAATTGTTTTTTCCCTTTAAATGACAACAATAGACGAATTATTATTTGTTTTAGCAATTTATTTCGTATTAGAGCTTTTTCTTTGAGAAAAAAGCGGGTGTTAAAAGAACTTTTACTTCGGTAAAATATTTACTTTTTTAGTACATTTTTTTAAAATGAGCAATTTAATTTATATATCATTGATTTTATGTTGTTTGCAATAAATAATTCCGTATAATCACTGTTTTTCATCAAATAATATTGATTAGACCGAATTCAGATAAAACCTACGCTTTTAAGAGTGCTTTGAACTATAAAATAGCAATAAATAACGTTTTGAAATAATCCAAATAAATGGCTTATCTGTAGATTTCGTTACAAAATATTGCACTGCAGACCATATGAGCCATCTTAGTTTCAGTCAATGAATTTAAATCTTTCTAAGATCTTGCTCCCTCTTTTTCAGTCCTGATTTTTTCTAATTTTTTTCCTTATTAAATTTTATCTTTAACGCCTTTAGATTAAAAAGCAATTTAAAAAAACATTATTTTTACAATTAGGTTATCAAAAAATAAGCATCTCCACTTACAGGAAGGCATTTCGATTTTTAGAGAATGCATAAATTAGATATCCATCATTTGGTTTCATGTATCTTTAACATTATATTGATTCAGGAATACGTATTATTTAACAACTGTCGATAGTAGATATTGCGAATGTAAACAAAGCCTGTAAAATAATTTCATTGCTGCAATACAAACTAAATCACACTGACTGCTAAAAATAGAATAAGTTAAATCTGTTATATTAAATTGTGACAGTATTATATTTCACATATTATGAAATAATGACATTAAATAATTAAATTGCAAATGGAAATTAAAGATAAGTTTTAGTTAGTAATACATGAATAGTGTTGAAGAATATTTTATATCATGGCAGGCCTATCTTTTAAATATCCCAAGCTGGAACTGGAAACGTGGCGATGATGTCATCTGTGTATCTGAATTGAAATTGGGCTTTATAGCTCAAAGCTGTCTCGCACCTGGCTTCTCGACTATGATGGCCAACTTGTTCGCCATGAGGTCATATAAAACAGTATGTATTTCTACATTCTCACTATAATATCGATATTTTTTATTAATACTGCGCACATTTTTATCAACTGGAATAAGTTGTTATATTAAACCCTTTTGTTCCATTCAAGCTAATTAAATTTTTTAGCACAGATGGATTTAATTTTTTAACACAGTTTCTTATATATATANGTTTTATAACAAATGTGCACTTGCAAATATTGTTTTAACACTTATGACATAAAATTTTGGGCCTTTTAATGGAATAAATGCTTAAATAGTGCAGAAAATCTCAAAAGCCGTTCTTTATACATTCTTACTATCCCTATGCAATCCCACACAATTGTTATATATATATATATATATATATATATATATTTCTGACGCTCTTATAAGAATCAAAAATATATTTTGGTACCTTTCAGTTATAAAAAATAGCCTATTATTTACAAAAGAAATCCGTTAGATTATCGTGAATTATATTTGTAATAAAATATAATATCCAAAAAAGTATTTTGAAATTTCTTTTTTCATTCATATTCAAACAATTATCAGTGATTGATTTATTAAATTAAAGAAATTTCAATGATGGATAACTATTTCTCTAAATAACTACGAATAAGTGCAGATTTGAAAATTTATTGTTAGGAAGCGAGTAATATAAACTGATATTTTTTATATTCATTTTGTTAAGGACATTTGACTCCTCAAAATACGTTATTTGATACTAAAAATTTTAAATAAGTTTAGTGAGACAGGAATAACCTGGTTCACAGGGCACTAGACTCACGTTCGTGATAACGGGAGTTTGAATCCAGTCAACCGAAGGCTCCTCGTGTAGAAAATGGTGACTGGTGTACGCTGAATCTGTCGGATCAAAAGGTCCTCCATGCTCCCATAACAAATTATACCTCTTGAGGTACTGAATTGGAGATTGCTCGTTCTCTGGTGCAGATCAAAATTACGATCTGTGGATGAATGAATGGATGTATGAATGGGTCCACCCTATAAACGGATATGACGTATGGGTGTAGCAGTAGTCGAATTCTAGGGTAGAGATGGCGTCACTGGAAAACAAGAACCCTAAGCACCAAAAACTACAATAAATTCAGTTCTTTTTTTATAAAAGAATTTCCTTGAAGACATTTTATTTACTAATATTTGACACCGAATTAGAACAAAAATGCTCAACAAAAAAGTTTAAAATTGCTGGAATTAAAATAAATTTTAAAGCACATCAACATCTAATGTTATAACAAATGGTTCATATTTTAAACATAAAAAAACACATTTAACAGAACAAAAAAAAAATCAACTATTGCCTAAATCATTCATATTTCACTTGATTTGAAAAATAATTAATATTTTCTTTCAGTCACCTGATATGCCAGAATGGCAGAACGATTATTTGTGCGGAACAGGGATGGAAATGTACACGGAGAATTTGTCGCCTTCATTTGGTGGGATGACCTTCCCTCAGGCAGCGGAGTAAGTTTTTGGAAAATATATAAACTGCATGGTGATTTTCATGTTAGAATAAATAAATATTTGCTTTGATGTTAGTATTATAGTACAGCTTACTAGCGTAACATTTTTTAACTCTAATTAGAAAGGTGTATTTTTTTAAAACCTATTTTAGATATTGCAAAATCTATAAGAGATTTAAAAATATCAGACTTTACACATTAATTTACTTACACGATCTAATTTCTTAATGATAATTTTAATGCTAAATTTTAATAATAGATTTATAAAGTAACTTATAATATTCTAATAATAAATTTCGCATGATACTTAGTTCATGTGAAAGTTTGATGCACACGCATTAGGCATCAAAATTCCATTTTTGAGATTTCTCTAAGGGAAAGAAATCAGAAAAACAATCTATTGATTCACATCTTTTTTCTAAGAAAAAGCCTTTTTTTTCATTAATAAGAGTCTGTGACAGTCGTCCCATTTCAAATTTTAAAAAAAAAAATACTTCGTCGTGTTAGATAATGTTTAAAAGGAGATACTAAATTTGTAAACTCTCCTCCCCTGAAAATGAAAGAATTTTTTTAAAATCTTAATTTTACATAATTTGAGATATTTTCCTAAATGCAAGTCATAAAATTAAGTTAAAGCTTAGAAAAATGACAAATATGTACATTTTCTGCTTTGAAGCGTGTATGGATGAAATCAGATTTTGTAAAATTTTAGCAGTGTTTTCTCAAAACACATTTTCTATATTTACAAACAAGATCATTTGTTACCACATGCAATTTACTTTTCCTCAAAAAAGTTCCAAACGTAGTCAAATTTATATCGATACTTAACTCAAGACTATAAATTAACTACAAGAATAAATATAAACTTTGAAGAATCAAGCTTTTGCTTAATGACTTACTTTGAACTCAACTGAATTTTAAATTAAAATATTTTTAGAATATAAAATAGTGAACTTTTTATACAAAATATTTACCCATAAATTCTAGTGGTAGAATACTTATATTAAACAAATTATATTGCATTAAATAGATTATATGAACACTATATTTAACAATTAATTTATTAGTATGTGGTAAATGAATATGATATATTGGTTACGTAGTATTTTGAAACTAATTAAAAAATATTTTATCTTATATCTTGTTGGTCTAAGGACTTAAGTATTATGGTTAAATATAATAAGCATCAAACACACAATACTAAATTCGGTAAAATTGCTTCCTGAGTTTTCACTATTGTGGCTTTTATTTTATCACTCTAAAGTTTATTTTTTTAAAAACTTAAAATGTACTCAAACTTCTTGTCATATTTCTATTAAATGTTATTTGAATTTATTTTAAGGCTCTGCTTCGTGAAACTTAAACTTCTCTTGTTGGCCATTGAGATCCCTAACGAAGACAGCTCTGACACCAAAATTACCATCAATCCAAAGAAGAAGGTTAAAATTGGTTCTAACGCTCAAGGTTTCTTCATGGCTCAATCTGCGGATGAAGTAAAAAGGTATTCATTCTCCATAAATTGTATCCTAAATTATTCAATCATATCATGTAAATACTCTCAGTAATTATTTCAAATATTTATGTTGTGAGGTAAATTTTTACATATCGCTTTAAAAAACTTTCAGTTTTTTACTGATTAATGCTTAGCATTCCTTTTTAGAATCAGTTTTAAAATCGTATTGTAAATTCCGGGAAATAATGTTTTACCATACATATATGTAAATCATTTTTGAATATTCATTTCATTTAAATGAGCTGTAGGTATCAAGCATCCAAATGATAGTATAGTGTTTTCCCCCTATTAAGCTAGGGTCCAAACAATTTTAAACAATTTTGAAAAAGATATCCATTTGTTCAATTATTTTTTACTTTAGAATATGCAATTTAGAATGCAAATTATCTTACTTTAGATTACAAATTGTTTTAAAATGTTAACATTAAGGTTACTTTGGAAGAATTTTATTTCCTAAATAAATAAATCTTAAAAAATGAGGTGTAATTTTAAATTGAGATATTTTTTGACATTTTGTATTGCGCTCTTAAAGGGACTTCACAATTTTTTCTAATAAATAAACCCAGTTTTACGCAGAATGTAATTTTTTAGTTTGTTTCCCGACATTCAATATGGATTTAAAATACTATTGTAAAAATATTACTTGAGAGAGCTAGAATAATTATTGATCTTAAATTTCATAATTTCAGTTTAAATTTTTTTTTGAAATATTGCTCTTGCTATTCTTTATTCCTCAATTCAGCAATCAAATTTATTAATTTTTTTTAAGTAAATATTTAATAATAGCGAATATATTTTTAGGGCATGGTATTATTGTAAAAACTGCCATGATGATGTTAAAGATGAGAAGTTAATAAAAAAGTGCAAGTGTAAAAACCGTGAGTATTCTGCATTTATTTTGATAGTGACTTTATATTTAGTAAAACATATAATAGAGTGCAAAAAGTTAAAAAAATTTTTTTGTCTTCGATTGAATTCAATTAAATGTACAATATTCGATAATAAAAATAATTTTATAGTAATTCTGTTCATTGACTAGATTATTTGTAAGCAAATTATTCATAATTTATTCGATCATTGTTCTGTAAGCTAAGTAAAATAAATGGAGAAACAAGTATTGCAAAAATGCAAGGAAAATCATAAACCTTTTAAAAATATGTAATCAAGATCTGTTATAAAAAGCTTATAGAAATTGATCCATGATGTTTTTAGGTTCAAAAAATTATATCAATATTAATGTTTATTTGTAAAAACAAGAAATAATTATTATACTGAGCAGAAAACGTATGGGACTCTAAAAGGTAAGTTATTATGCTGTTACAATATACTATGAAATAATTCTGCATTAAAGACTTTCTTTTAATCGAGTAATTTCATGTAAGTTACTCGAATGGATAAATTTGAATTTTCTTCATCTTTTTTAAATTTTTACGTATTTAACAACAGGAGAATATTTTTCTTTTAATATATCGAATAATTTTTTTCATATCATTTGAACACTTATTGTATAATAAAGAATTCTTACTAATATTGGCTGATAAAACTTCTCTTTTGTTTAATTTTCAGAATTTATTTTTCTATTTCTCGTTCCAAAGCATACATATTATGAATTTTTGTTTAACACAATATTTTGAGACTTTTGTTTTAATTTCAAATTTGTATTTTTCTTGCTTAACTAAAAGGTCCCATTTGTTAGATCCCACTTAAATTTGATAAATAATGTTGTTTTTTATTTCTTTGTTTTGTATATAAGAGCTTCTTAAAATTAGAGTAAATTTGAAAAAGCAGAAAAAGTATATACTTTTAAATGTAATAATAACTTTCTCAGAGTCAAACTATTTTTATAATTAGCTTTTTTTTAAATTTATCGGGAATATTTTTCAAAGCAGCAGTAATAAAAGGTTTGTATTTAGCTTTTAAAAATATTCTAGATGTTTAACATTAATGTTTTAAATTTCGGTTTGAAAATGTATTATTTTTTTCATAAAATTCATATCGAAATTTTATATTTTATCTAATTTACATATAATTTGATGTTTGAATGATCAAGGGTAACATAAAAAGATCTTGTTGATTTTATAATCTATGTTTTGTTACCTCGTTGATGTTCTAAAAATATATTTAACAAAATGTATAGTATATATGTCAATAAATGCTCTTTTTCTCTCATGATGTGAACCAATTATCGATAATTTTCTTGTAAGCAAATGTGTTACCATTGAAATAGCGTTTAATTATGGTGCAGATTTCTTTCAGATATTTTTTGTTTTGTGCAGTTCACGTGGTGGTTCCTTGTATGTATTTAACTGTTTCCTTAACTAAATAATATTCTGTCATATTCACATGCAGCCAAAGATACGAAACAGAAAGGTAACATAGTTTCTTTTCAGCCTTTAATGTTATGGTACCATTATGCTGGACGCTTTTTTTTAAATCTATGCTTTGGCTGATTAATTTAGGTGCTCTTATAAAATAATGCCTATTACCCTCAGGTGATGAAGTACATTATCCCTAGATTAGAAGTAGTGCTTCTTCATATTTTTCCTATTCTTTTTCTCGTCCTAAAAGGTCTTCACTAAAGCTGATTTGGTAATGTTTTCGATACCATAATGGAAAATCGAATTTTAGTTAGATTTACCAACGTAGATGCAGTGCATAATGAAAATCTTGAGTCTGGGCTAGAAATATATTATTTAATTTCCTCTAGAAAGTAATATCATTTTTCTGTTGACTTGAACTGTACGTTTTGTATTAGTTATCATTTCTGATGTGATCCATTAGTTTCAATCTATCAGTAGAATGCCCTTATTCTTAAATGCATAAATTCCCTTACTATTCAAATGTTGAAAACTCAATATATAAATTGTTTATTTATTACATTTCCCTCTTGTGTTTGTGTGAGTTGCCAGTGAGAGTGTATGATGAACTTTTAGCTCCATTTTAAATTATTTTTCATTTCATATTATCATAAGGGAGCATTTGAAAGTTTATTTAATTTTTAAATAACAAATCATGGAAGCATTTCAGCAGTTACCCACTGAGTTATATGAAGAGGAATTATTTGGCTTTGAATCTGCATTTTTTTGACACGTGTGAGGGAATTAGAGTAATGCATTGCATTTAAAATTATTTTAATGTTGACCAATTATAAATACTGAATGTCAACAATACCGGGATAAGGTGACAGACGTTTTTAAATATGCAGTGAAAAGTATTACTTATATATGCTTGCATTAAATTTTCCGTATTACAAATCTACTTATTTATGAGAAATAATTTAAATTTTCAATCAAGTGAACAGAGTGTTTTGTTAGGAAAACCCAATATATATATTATTTAAATCAAAAAAGGTATGTATATAAAAGATCGTAAATTAAAGCGAGGAAAAGGCAAAAAAGTTTTTCAAATTATTATAAATAATTTATTATTATTAATTGCTATTAATAAGAATTTATTGATGGCCACTAAGCTGAATAATTTTTTTAACTTGTTTTAATTTAGAAAGGAATCTAAATTATAGATATGAAATTACGTTATCTATGATACATATTGTCTATATGTATTATAGTTATATAATTATATATACAAGCTCAATTATGAAACGCTCTGTATATCAAACCATACTTCACGATTAGGAAGTTAAAAAAGCAATATTCAAATCTTTTTTTTTAATTAAAAAAAAGCTACATTTCTATAAATTTAATATATTGTCGAAACACTTTTCATTTGCAAACCAAATGTAATTTTTCTATGTGAGTCAATAACCTGTTGGAAATTATAACGCTGAAAGTAGTCGACACTTTTTTGAACACAAAATAGATTCTTTTAAGTCAATCAGCAAAGCAGTGAAATTTTTATCGATGAAACTTTTGAGATCCTTCCATAATTTGTATTTAAAACAGAATAACAATGGTAACACTTTTGAAACATTGTACTTATTCTAATAGTTACTGTTACTATGTTATTTTCGCTGCAGTGGCGCTGTTTAAGAAAGGTGTCAGAGCTGTCCAAGTTGTTGGACGGGCAAGTACGTTCCTATATATTCTTTGGTGGCAGTTTCAGCTGTTTTTTGGTGTTGTTTGTTTGTCCCTATTTAAACATGGAATATTAAATACACAGTGGTGGCTGATTTTAATTAATTTTTTTTAGATGCGCCTTATCTACAATTATTCAAATTATAATAAAATGTTGTATTTTTCTCACAAAAAAACTCATTTATTGTTTGTTAACAACTAAACACTATTTTCTCAGTTATTGCTGAAATTATTCTAAACTTAAAACTACAAAAAATACACTAAAAAAAAGTATATTCAAAATTCCCAGAATATGGTGAAATTTACCTCTAAGGAAATACCAAAAAGCTCGATAATTTTTACCAAAGCGGTTTGGTAGATTTCGGTAAAATTAAGAATTGAATATAGTTTTATAATATGCGATAAAACTTGGTAATTTTATTTAGATACTTTAGAGCATGCCATAAAAACCATTTATTCGGTAAAATTTACCTTGCAGTTTTGTATATTTTACTAAACATGAGATAATAAGAATTAAAATTTTTGAAAAGCAAAATTTTCTGGTTAACCGTTACCATATAACTACCAAACACTACCAAATGAATGGTTTAAATTCTGTTAATTTGGCTTTGTTGATCAGAATTACAGTTTCTTTTATCAGAAATGTCATATGTATAGAACGGTAATTTCACCGGAATTTTTTCTATATACTATCAGTACAAAATTGAAGAATTCCTCAGCATTAATAAACAAAAGACTTAAATGTCACAGAGTTAGATTGTTGTTCTTGAAGAGTCGAATTAAATTAAAAGAATAAGACACATAAGAAGTTGGAAATAATTTTCTTAAACCTTTCTGGATATATTTAAACTGATACATGATCATAAACCATTTAAGAAATTGTTGGACATTTACTAAATTCTAAATTATGATGGAGAATCCTTAATATTCTAGTAATAGTTAAATACATAAAATAAAAATAAGCAGTCTGAGTCATTAATACCAACACTATTTTCCAGCAAACAGCTTAACTATTCTCTGTCTCTGCCTTGGGATTCAAATCTGTTTAAAAAAATTTCTTTTGATGTTTATTTGTAACGTTTTAAGATTATTTATGGAATTCTTATAAACTTAATATTTAATTCAACAAAAAAGTATTTCAAAAACTAGCGATTTTTTGGTATTCTTTTGGAAACAAATGTAAGAAACTAAATTATTATAGGGGTCTTTGACCCTGGCTACGTCTGCATCATGGCGGTACACAATATTACTCTTAATGTTTAATATTTAACAGAAAATAATACACGGCGATTTAATTCTAAAAATAAATGTAACAACTTATAATGCACTTACAGAGAAGTATTATAATTTGGGATTTTGGCCCTATTTTGAAGTTTTTCAAGCGGAAGTGAGTGCACGTTTTATATTTTTATTTAAAAAACTAAATACTATTTCATATTTGTATAGCAAAAATATTTTCCCATGGCTTTTGCTATTTATTGAAATCTTGAATTCATTATGCTTATTTGTTAAAATTTAGTACAATAAACGCAAAAATAGAACACTAAATCTAACTAAGTATAAAACAAGTTCTACCCATTTCAAAATTTAATTAAATAGTAGATTATTATTTATTTATTAAATTTTGCTAACCTAACATATTATTTTTACAATTTAAGCTGAACACACGTATTTATACTAAAGTAACTAAAGTATTAATAACCAACACATTTATAAAACGTTTTCTTAAGAAATTTTATATTTTAAATATGAAAACAACCTACCTTATATTAAATTTGATAAATATTTTTTGCTTATATTATTTTTTCTTTCGTGAGTTATTTAAAGTTTATTTTTATCTAATACAAACTAAACAAGAAAGGCCACCACTGCGACACCCCCGTTGATGTCGCATGCTTCTAACCAATATGAAATGTTTTAGGTAGTTAGTTGATGTGCTTGGCTTTGGTAATCGTATCGATGTTTTAACAATTATATTAAGTCTATATAAATTTAAAACACTTTTATAAACAAACCTTTTCACTAAAAATTATCATTCATCATTAGTTTAATGCATGATGGATTAAATGTTATTCAGTGTGAATGTTGTGCCGAAGTGTAAGAGTTCTAAAGCCCCCTTTTGCTATTTAGTCCCAGCACATAACTCATTTTCATAATCACACCATTATGCATGCTGTATTAAATAATTATCATTCACTAGTAATGTAGCGGAAAACAAATATGCTTGCCAAATATTAAGTAAAAATTTATGTACAGTTTTTTTCAAAAAAGTAACATTTGAATAAAAATGCAATTAAGAACAAGAAACTATCCACGATTTGAGAGTTGAAGAAATTTTTAAGAAGCTTAAATACTCTTTTAAATGAAATTATAAATTTATTTTCAGAATTCAGAGACGAAACTAAATAACAAACAGAGAGACGTTTTTTATAAACAGTTTATTATAGGGCGTAAGATCCAGTAAATGCAGTTGTTATTGGCATTAGATTATTTGAAAAATTTTAATAATCTTATTAAATTTGGTAAAACGAAAAGTTCATAACGTTTCTTAAACATGCAAATTTTTATGTTTATAGAAATAAACTCATCGTTTTATCCTAAGGTATTCATCTGAATCCGTTTAATAAAAGATATGTTTAGTTAGAAAAAGCACGTTTTTGTGTTCAATTTTGTAACTTGAAATATCGTCAGCACTTAATTAGCATATTTAAAAGTCTCCTCTTCAAACTTTTAAGATTGAGACCTAGAACGTGAAGATCCGATCATTAGATCAAAAGTATTCAGGTTTTTCCATTTTTTTCACTTTACGATCTGTACATGAGAAAAATACATTCGAAATGGAGAGAATTTATCGTTTAATTAGTCATAACTTCCTAATTTTTGATAAATTTGTAATAAAAATTATAAAGTTATTTACATTATAATATAAATGGTTATTTGCAACTAACAAATGTAATTTCAAAAGCACTACATTTACAAGTGCAATTCAATTTATTTCATATGTATAAAATATTTGGTTACTTATTTTTTAATAATACTTTTAAACACAAATGCGGATGGCATACATGAATATATAATATTCATGTATGCCGAATATATAATAGCATACATGATATAATTTATTAATCATCTATTATTACTTTTTTAAAACTCAAATGATCACTTTTAAACCATAAATTTAATACTCAACAGCACATCAGTAGTCAAAACGCACCAAACATTTCGTGTATGTAGAATTTATCAATTATACTAACTGAAATAAACAGCAGTAATTTAAAATTGTTTTTTTTAATTTTTTTTTATAAGAAAATGGTTCCGGATATCAGTTTAAAGAAAATAAAAATATTTTCTCTTATATTTATTTTTTGAAAATAATTTCGATCTAAAACCTATAATATTTGGCTTCTATTTATTTAATTAAATTTTATGTTATGGCTCAAATTTATGAAAGCCACACATAATATTTGACAAAAATATTTAACGTCTCATTGCTAGTTGAATGTCTTAGATAAGTAATGTTAATGAGTATACTTTTATCTGTAGTTCACATTTATAATGGTTTTAAAAAGGGGTGCTTCAAAAACTAATAATTACAATTACTATAATAATACGCTAATTCGAAGTCATAAATTAAATAAGTTATTATTTATAATATTGTTGTTTATGTGTGATTCTATTTTTATAATTTGTAGTTAGTTGCCATAAAAAAACATTTATATTAAAAAAATGCCATGAAGTTATATTATGTTGCTAACATTTTTATATTATCACACGTTAATGCTAGATTTTTGTTCCTAGAGATTGCAACATAATAATACATGCAAATTAAATTAAATTTACTGTAACTACAAAGTTTTAAATGCTATATTCAAACATAATTGCCTGATCACAAAACAAAACATGCATATAATTAAATGTTCAAATTGATTATGTACCAGATAGCGTTCTAAGACAGCCAGAAAAAAAATACTGAAAACTTTCTTTGTTAATTAATTGAGTTATTAAAGTGATTGAGTTATAATTAATTAAATTTCTTTGTTAATTTATTTGCTAGAGTTTAAATTCTGGCACGGCTATGTGCAGAAAAATTGCATGCAAAATGTAAACTTCTGATGCATATAGATATCGTCAGCTTAACACTAGATTGCCTAAGGAAGTCATTTTGACTTCTTTTAATTTCAATTAGAAAAACAATGGTGTATATAATAACACAATTTTTTAGAATTTTGTACAACATATAATTTTTTTATTGTTAATATTTACTAATAACTTTTATATAACTGCAAATAATATAAAAAATATTAAAAATTAATCTTATACAAATTTCGTTATACATTATTTATACTTTTACAATTCAGTCATTTTGACTGCTTTTGGGCAATAAAAGTACATACTAAATTTCAGTCTTTCCAGTGTTAAAGATTGGTATTTCCTCTCAATCTTTGATCATTGATCAGGTTGCGACGATCAAACACTTCATTGAAGCCAAATCAATCACGATGGCTTTCGTCATTTCGTTTTCAAGTCTCATTTGACAAAATTATCTGCTCTGAATGAGGAGTGAGGGCAGTCAATCTTTTAATATTACTAACAATTAAGGAATAATAAAAATGCAGAACTGCTTTTTTGCATTTTGAGAGTGTTAAAGACTTGAGAAGTGTTAATTATCCTACATTGAATCAAGTAAAAACATGTTTTCTTGCACAAAAAAAATCCAATATTTTACATTTCAAACGCTTTTTGTATTTCAATTCAATTAGTTTGTGATACACTTATGTTTTCTGTTTTTGTAAATTACATGAGCGTGGATTCTTTTTACTTAAGAAAATTTGTTACGGGTTTAAATAAATAAATAGATAAAATACGGTTAATAAATCTAAGGATATTTAAAAAGTATTTATATTATGACGTATAAAAACATGCTCTAATAAAAATATATTTAAAAAATCAGACTATTCTTCTTTCTCTTACAGAAAGAACGTAAATATAAGGATGCAAAAATACAGTTCAAAGCAAGAATATATAATAACTGCAATACATAAAATATATATATAAAAACATGTTAGAAGAGTACAATAAATATTTTAAAAATAAATCATATTTTTGATTTCAAGATGAGGCAGGTTGCTTTTTAATTTAATCAGTTTTTTTTTTATAAAAGTGAAACGATTTTTATTATTGGATACATTCATCCCCTTTTTTTATCCATCCTCATCTGTTTAATATATTAATATTATTTAGCTGTTATTAGTATCATTTTGCCTGATTTTCTACGAATAAATAACAAATGTTTCAAGTATGTGTCTTTTATTATTTAGCTCACAAATATTTTTTTCCCTAATACTCATCTTAAAAGCTGCTTAGATATTTGTTGGAATTTGTATATTGTGTAAGTAATACTAAACAAAGCGTAAATCGATTTATTTGTAAATCTCCACAGAATATATTATCTCAAGAACTGGAAGTGCAGTTGATATTGATGCTGATATATCTGAATCAGATAATAGTAGGTTATTTCGAAATCGCTTAAATTTGCTTTCCGTGTGCACGCCAGTCTATGTGTTATCTTTGCACATTTCCGTAAGCAGCCATTTCTAATGTTATATGCGGTATCGCATTACGTACTACTTACTATTCTCTAAATATTAAACCTACTATTTTTATTAAAAAGTTTCCTTCAGAGCCTGAATTAAAATGCTATGCTTTATTTAAAAAAAGTGTTTGCTAATAAATTCAGTTTTTTTCTTCCTTTCTACTTTTAAGTGTTTATAGTTTATGGATAATAATGGAAAGTGTTGAATTAAACATACGAGTAAATGTGTTTTAAATTATTATCAGGCTTGTATACATAGACTTTCTTTAAACAAAATGTCAAATGTAAAAATACATGATGATTGAATGAACCCCAATATTAATAAAAATTAATTGTTGAAACATATTAGCCATTAAAAAACAGTTAAATAATAGTTTGTCACAATCGTGACAATTTTCATACCTCAATTTGTAACACCATTTTCGATTGAATTCGATATAAATATTAGCATTTTCTTAGGAATTGCTAAAATGTTTAAAATAAATTTATCACATCCTTACTGAAAATCAAAATAAGCAATGATGTCTCCTATAAGATAGCATGCAATAAAGATAAAAAAGTTAAAGTCAATAAAAGTGTAGAATATACCTTTAATTAAATAGATACGCGTTGCACCATGTGAAATGAACTTTTCACTTAATATACGCAGGAAAAGGTGAAATATTTTATCTTAAACATTGCATCCGAACGTAGACTGTGCATCCAGATCATTATTACCATATCTTCAGAATATGTTATTTTCGCCATGATAAGAAAAAAAAACCTCGGTTTTCTAAAATCACATTAAAATCTCAAGAAGTCCGAGATTCTCAGATTCATACGTCATATTTTTCGGACTTACGTTTACAATTTTTATTTTTTAAATTTTGGAGAATAACGTTAAAATGCAAATATTTTCAAGTACAAATGTAAATTTAGCGTTTTATTCTTCTTAATTCATTGATTTTAAACGAAAAGGATCAGTTCTGATAACTATCAGAAGAATAATTTGTATTCAAGAGCAGGCAAGCATTTATTTAGACAGAGTATATTTTGATGAAAAGTAGTCAAAATGTATTTCAAAGTTCATTTCACAAGTAATAACTTAATAAAACAACTTTTCTTTGAAAAGAAAATTTTAAATTCAAAAGAATATTTGATAGAAAGAGAATGCCAAAAGAATGAACTAAATAAGGAAACTACGTGTGATTTTTATTTTAAATAAGACTAGTTAATGCATCTCATTCATTTTGTCTGAAAATTAAAAGCTAAATTTTAACTCTTATTGCCATTTTTACCTAAAAGTTTTTAGAATATTTTAAATAATATTGTCCCCTTAATATTACCTAAACTAAATTTTTTTACTTAAAAAATTATGAAAAATTATTGTGTGCAAAGAACAATTTTGCTCTAGGGTTGCTAGTTGGAAAAAAGATGTCACTGTTCAAGATATCGAATGCATGTTGCTAGTATTTTTTTAGCTTATGTGGATAGGCGGGTAAAAACAATATGGTAACTAAAAATTTGTATTTTAATTTTGTATTGACATACTTGATTTTTGACTGAAATGAGAGTCGATCTTTCATTGCTAAGGTATTTTTTTTAATTTCTGTCAAATGGTATGCCTTACATATATTGCAATATCAAATAATATAGTTTTTTATGGAATTTTATTATTTTCCTCTTACAAATTTATGAATTTATTCAAGATGTTTTCTTTTGAATTATAGCTATTGATTTTCCATTATAAAAAATTTATATTATTTATGATATTTTCTTTAATTTATACTATAACCTTACTCTTGCTTCTACCTAGAAAAACTGTTCGCTAAATGTGCTTGCACGGCTGGCAATTATCCTGCTTTTGGTGTGCTATGATTTTATTTTCTTCCATAAGGAATGTTCTTTGTTGTATCCTGTGTTCAATGTTTTTCCACATGAAATATCTGGGTGTTTGATTTAATTGGTGTCTTAAGGAAAAATAAGTTTATTAATTTTTTAAGTGTTCTACTTCTAACTATTTCTTTCAGATGAGAGTGTTCACAACTCTACGTTCCCAACATTCACACCTCCAGAAATACCCAAGAGGGTGAAACTAAGAGGTAAATACAAGTGCATTTTTTAAACTCTATATGAAAATTTATTTTAAAATTGAAAGTTAATCAGCTAAGCAATTTAACAATTAACAAGAGTAATATTTCATTTGCTACATATGTGCATGAGATATTTCTCTCCGCACTCCTATTTTTAAATTTTTAGTTTTGAATTTTTTGTTAAAAATTTAAAAAAAAAGTCCCAAAAGTACACAATACTGACCATGATTTAAAACTTTGAATGAGGGAAATTCGTCGAATCTGACAAACTATTAGGTAGGACTAACTGATTTACTATAGGACTTAGGTTCCCAACCTTTTTTTAGCTGACTCCCTCTTTACAAAACTAACCGCTCATTTTTTAAGGTCACTTTAAACATTTTTCAATAAACGATTTTTTAATTAATAATCTTTTTATTTTAGATTTGTTATTTTTGAATGGCATGCTTTTAATTATATGGTTAATTTATTTAATTATATTGTTAAATAATAAAAGAAGAATGAAGCAATTATGATGATAGAGAAAATGAGATATGATTTTCTATGAAAATTCTTCAAGATCACTTGAACCATTTTCTCTGTCATCAAAATTGCTTCATTCTTCTTTTATTATTTAAAGTCTTGATAGCTGAGAATCTCAATGAAGTATGAATTATAGTAATCAAAAATCAATTCATATTGTCACAAAAGTTTCTGAAGGGGAAAAAATATCTTTATAGTTCCAACTGACAAAAAACTAGTTATTTGATATTTTAATTCCTCTTTAGTTCTGATTAATTCCAAAAATGATTAATTAAGTTTGAAAGTTTTATACATTTTGTGTTCCCTCTCTCACTTAAATATTTATTAGAGACTAATATTCATTTGCTAATTTGTTTATGTTTTTAGGACCCTATTTTTTGGCAAGGAATTTAAAAAGCTATATCTAATATTAATATACGATTATAGTGCAACTTGTATAAATGACAGCATACGTATATTTACGTATGTGCGTGTACGTATATTTAATATCCATTAGTTACATGCATATTAAACATTTTTATTTTAGATGTACAATATCGTGACAATATTATATTATGATACACTATACCGTTATTTTTTTTAAAAAAAACTTCCTTGTTATGAATTCAGTTTGCTAAAGGTAAAAATCAAAAAACGTAGAAAATATTGAAAATGCAATTTTTTTTCTTTATTAAGAATCAAATCGGAAGAAATTTGTTGTAATGCTAAGGACTGAATTTATAGGTCAACATTTGGCACGTTCTCTCGAAAAAAGCTATCATTGAATTAGTTTTTGAAATACTGAAAATAAATGTTGCATTGCAATCAAGTTTTGAAAATACAAATGCGAATTTTGAAAAATTGAAAATAGTTTTGATTGTATTGAAAATAATTCTTGAAAATACTAACTACATAGCTATTACGTTGTTTAAAAATAACAATTATCAATGAAAAACACTGCATAAAAAGCATAACAAATTGAAATGAAGGAAATTATAAAAAAATTCTTTTCATACAATAAAAATAATAAAGAAACAAATAAAAAATAACGTTTAAGAGGATCAAAGTTCCAACTTTCTCTAAACCCATTTTCACATAGGTAAGAATCTAATTATTAAACAATAGTATAAAATTTTTACATCAGAAAAATATTTTATTTAAATATGTGCTAATTATTGCCTGTATTAATTACCATTAATTTTCTTTTTTTTTTCAGACGCACCAAAAAATCCTAACGACTGTAAGTAAATTTTGCGTTACATAAAGTTTTAAGCTTATTCGTGCTCTGAAATTTTATCCTTAAAAGTTACATTTCAATTAAATAATTATCGGTGTGTTTTACATAAAGCATTTGATTTATGTACAGTTCCTGGTATCTAACTTTAAATTAGAGAGTTACTACAGTGACTTCAAATGAAAGAAATTAATTGCTTCGTTTCAACAACCAATCAGGATTGAGATACCCACACTACGTCGCTTGCAGATATCCCATTATTGATAACTTTACAAAAAATTTAGATTGCTAAATCTTCCATTTATTACTTTTATTGACAATTCTTTTATAACATAAATAAATATTTTCAACTTGATATAAAAAACCTTTTTATTTTATTTCTTACAGCTTAATTGTTAGCTTAATAGAATCTTGATATCTTTGCAAAAGATGATCGATGGAATCTTGGTCAAAATTAAAATCACTTTTCGTCTACCAAGAGCACTTGAAACAGTACTAAAGTTCCGTAGCCGATGTCAATACAATATTCAATCAAATTTTGGAAGCTACCAGTATAACTTATTACGTTAATACTGTCAAAGAGAATTTTACATCAATCAAAATTTTCCGATCACTTTAAGAATGGCTAGAGCACTCAAATTTAAGCTCTATGCTGAATTATAATACTATTTTAAATCATTTCCCAACCATTGCCAGAAAAATTTATCACGAAATTGTTCGAAAAGAAACTTATTGTCAGTCAAATTTCCGGCAATTTTCTGATTAACTGGAGTGTTCAAGTTACGAGAGCCCCTCCGCTCTTCTGTCCTTTCCAAAATAATCAGAATTAGCGTATTACTGCAAAGTTGACTGATTGCTGTTAAAAAGTTTGTCTACTTTCCGAAAACTAGATTGTTTGAACATCATCTAGAGATCCGAGCTTGGTGTCAAATTCAATAATTATTATTTCCTGGTAACTTTGTCACAAGCAAAATTTATAGCCATATTATTTCTACAAGTAAATTTATAGTCAATCGAGATTTCAACTACTGTCCGATTTGCTAGAGGGCCTACATTTTAAATGGAAATACGTACTGGATGACGTCTCAAGTTTTTATCATTTCCTGATTACTACATGCAGATTTTAGAATCATGCCGTCCAAAGGAATTTCCCTTCAATCTGAGTTTCGACTACTTTCCAACTATTTAAAGTGCTCTTAAATGAACTAAACACTGTCAGATGGAAATGGTAGTTTCAATTATTTCTTGACCAATATAAGCATAATTTAGAACGTCAAGTAAAACATATCAGCAATTTCAATTTTGACCTCTTTCCGACTAGCTAAAGTGCTTAAATTTAAACAGGAGCTATGTATCTAATAGCAGTAAGCAGTCATTTTTTAAATAGTTCAAGATAAATTTATTAACAAATGAAGAATTTTTTTATAAATTTCGACTTTATCTAATATGCACAAAACTAAAAGGTAGAAAAGAATAAAATAAAGTAAATACTTTGAAAACTACGTTTTTCAAGTGCATGATAAAATTACAAAGTAATTCAATTTTTGCCATACCAAAAACGCAAAGAGAATAGTTTTAGTAATAAACTTCTATCCCAACCAAAATTCTCCTTTTCCTGTTTTGAAAGTGATGATCCCTACCTCTTTCCTTTCTGGTTTGCCAAAACTCAAATTATTTTCGCTTTTTTTTATCCACTTGGAACTTTCATTTTATTTTGTTATAACTAGTCATTATATCACGATTTTTATTTTAAATTGTGACCAACTTTGATAGAAATTGAAAATTTTTTTGTACTTATTAAATCTTTTAATTAAATAATTGTGTCATTAAATCCAGAAAATAAAATTTAATAAAGAATATTTGAATGCTAATAACATTTTTCTTCGCATAAAAATAATGAAAAATAAAAAAATTATACACTTTGGAAGAAAATCTAAAAATAGCACTCATTAAAATACAGAGTGATATGATTTTTCATATACTATGAATACACTATGCAAGAAATTCCAAAAAGAACACTCAGAAAAATTCAAAGTGTTTTAAAAGATCTCTATCTTTATAAGGATATACTTAATAAATCTAGTTATCTGTCTTTAATATAAACTCGAATTAACCTAAAGCAATTTTCTTATCAGTTGTGCAGGAGTAAAATATAAAACAGCGACATAGTTGTTTTGAAATATAAAAATGAATGAATATTAAAATTAGGTATTGTATATAATCATTAAAACACCAACTTACATTTCTATAAAAATACACAATAACCAGTGAAAGTTAATATTTCAACAATAAAAAAATCTAAATTTCCAGAAAGTAACCAGAGATTGATAAATAAAAACTATAAACAAACACAATGACAAATCACCATGATTAATTATAATAGGAAAATGAATAAACAGCAGACATTTCAGAATTGTACTTGTTGCTAAGGTATCAATATTTAGTTACGTTACGATTCGTTTTCTTTTCCGGACTAGAGACAAGAAACTACGCTAAAGAACAGCAAATTGTTCATGTACAAATTAAGCTCTTTAAGAATAAAACTATAACTTATTTTTAGTTTGTTTACAAAATTTTCCGCAAGAAAGCTAACTTTTAATCAAAAATTTTCAATTTATTTGGCATGCAATAACATGAATAACTTGATAAAAGTGAAGAGTAGAGCTGTCACAATATTTAAAACCTAATTATTTCGCAAAATAAATGATTTTTAAACAGCATATTTGTGCATGATAGATATCTTGAACAGTTAAGATTTATTTTGAAATCAAAGGAAAAAGAAGTGTACCTGAAATTATGAGACTCGGCAAAATAAAAAAAATTATCCATGCTAACTCTACGAACTACACTACGTTAAATAATCCCATGTTAACTCTACGAGAAAAGGCATGTTGCATTTTATTTCGTTAAATTTTGACTCTCGACCAATCAGATAATGTTACTTGTATGTCGTAACTTTCTCACGAAGTTAAATAGCAGTAACTCTATATTTATGTAAATATTATGTCATTATTTATGTTTGGATTTTACGAGATGTCCATAGTGTAAAAATATCCATAGCCAAAGGCAAAAATGGATTCTAACTTACAACTTCTCATCTCACCAATTTACTAAGAGTGTATGACCTATTAGGGGAAGAACGTTTTGCGATTTACATGTTAAATTGCTTATGTAGAAAATAACTCGTAAAACAGAAGGGAAAGCAAATATTAATAAAAGGCATTCATTCTACGTATTTTCAATGATAGTTCATACTTGTATGTACTTCTTTCTTTTTCTCTTTCGTAGTTAGTTTTCATTAAATTAAAATAATGACAAAGCTCTTAAAAAAGCTGATTTACGCTGGAAAGCGAGGCATTAATTATTTAAATGTTTTTTTTTAAATTCTTCACTTATACACACGGGACTCGGCCGATTTTTATTCCTTAAAAATTAAAAAATATATAATAAATGCTTAGTGCTGTTTTGGTAGATAGGCTCTATAAAGAAAAATGTTCTTCGAATATTGCGAAAAAAGTTTGTAACGTGCAAAGGTGAGAAATTCAGTTGAGTTATATAAAAATAAATAAATAAAATTAAAATGCAATAATGAATCCAAATTGTAGAAGAAACATTTCTCCCCAGTTGATGCAGCCATTCAAAAGTTATTATTAGCCGTTTGTTCGGAAGCATTACAATTACAACAATTTTTATAGTGTTTTTCGTATGAAAATCAAATTGAGCATCATAAAATGGTGATATTTATGAAATTATGCCCAGAATATTCCAAAACTGTGGAGAAAAGCAGCCAACACACTTCGATGCAAATATTATCGAGTTATTAATAAGCAGATAAAATTTTCTTTTCATGTGCAATGCGCAAAAAAAAACAGACCACTTTAAATAAAATTTGATCTAATGATTGGATCTTTATCTAGGACTCAATCTTAATGGCTCGAGCGAGTTACTTCAAATATGCTATATAATGAGTTCAGACGAGTAATTTAAGTTACAAAATCAGACACAAAGACGAACTTTCTCTGAATAAACATACCGTTTTTCTGACTGATTCAGACTTCTGCTACCCAAAATATAGGGGGTAGCAGCTATCAGTGAAATATGATCTCAATAGTTAGGTCAGAAAAATGCTCTAAAGTTTAAACCTATTAATATTAATTTTACTTTTTACGTGTTTAACCATATCTTGATACTTTTTTTTTACGCTAATTGAAAAATTTTTGCACAAAATTGTAAACTTCGCTTATCCAAAGATAAATAACCTATAGTAAATATTTATTTTTTATTATTGTAATTAATAATGGAAAAAAATTGAATTGTCAGGTATAGAATTTTTTGCAACATTTTAAAAAACGTAATTTTTTAAGGCAAAATGCAAAATTTGAGCAAAGTCGGTAGAATAGTTCCTGAGAAGTCGAATTTTAAATATTTGACTTTTTTGAAATTAAATTTCTCAGGAACTATTCAACCGATTTTGTTCAAATTTTGTATTTTATCGTATTAAATTATGTTCTTTAAAATGATGCAAAAACTGTATACCTCACAAATCATTTTTTTTTACCTTTATTAAATAAAATTATAAAAAAAGTAATAAATATTTACCAAAAGTTATTTTTTGCGTAAAATCATCTTTGGATAAACGAATTATATAATTGGGCTCAAAAATTTTTCAATTCGCTTAAAAATTTCTCGAGATATGGCGAAATACGCAGAAAGTAAAATTAACATTAAGGGGGCCAAACTTTGGATCATCGAACGATTATTGGGTTCATATTTTCCAGATTGCGGCTACCCCCTATATTTCGGGGGTCAGAAATCCGAATTCGTCGAAAAAAAAGGTGTATTTATTCAGAGACGGTACGTTTTTCTGTCTGATTTCGTTACTTAAAGTACTGTCTGCACTAATTAATTAGCTTATTTGAGATAACTCTGTCGAACCATTAAGATTGAGTCCTAGAGCGTGATGATCCAATCATTAGATCAAAATTTATTCACGGTAATTCATATTTTTGCACGTAAGGAAATAGAAAGCGCGTGTTTTTTAAATGAGGCTTGTTTTCAAAGCGTGGATCATTCATGTAAGTTTAATGGAATAAAACTATTCTAATTCGAAAAGAAAAAAAATTTAAACACTTGATCTTCTAGCATTTAAACACTACCTCGAAAAACAATGTATATTTTATTTATTACTGAGTATTAAGATTTTAGAAATTTATTTAATTCTTGAAAAACTTTTAGAAAAATTTTGAGCTATTTCATACAAGAGAAAATTTATTTGTTATTATTTATTTTTCAAACTTTTAGAAATGTTCTTGGAAATTTGGAACCTTTTTCTTCCATATAAATGGATGACCACATTGGAAACCTTACTCAATAAGAAATTTTAAGAACTAGGCGTTTTGTGTGAGCTAGCATGAAACACTCTTCAACAAAACTAAAAATAAAAGAAGTACATAGCAATTTTCAAAAACTTTCACTAGAAATTAGAAATAAAACCCTGTAATAGCCAAAAATACGACTTCCTTAAAATTACATGAATAATTGCTATTTATTGTTAAGTAATTGTTATGTTATTTTCAATTGATTAATAAACTTTATAATTTAAAAAAAAAGCGCTTAAATCTTAAGGCTTTGGAATTTAAAAATTTAGGGCAATTTTATGATAAGTAAAATTTCCAACTATGATAACTCACATTTCACTATGATAAGCCATATTTTTAGAGCGTTTTTATGGAAGAACTGCTGTTAACAAAGAGAAATTGCAAAAAAATTGTAAAGCGCATATCTGTAAACAATATTATAGAACAGTTTAATGTTAAAATGCAATCTAAAGATGAATCATCACTATAGCCTCCATTCCCTTTAACTTGAAAGTGTACTTGGTGTACATGCACAAATTTTTTATTCTATAAACAAACTTAACGTTCGTAGAATTACAAACTAGCCTTCTTTTTGGTTGAAACCTTAAATATAGGATGGCATCATTCTAAGATTGGTGTGACTAGTCCTTATATAGATAGAATCAGGAAAATAAAGGCACATTACTTTATTTGCAAATATTTGTTTTTAGTCAGTAACATCGCAGGACAAGTGGGCGGGCGGCACAACGCCACGCACCACGGAACACCTAGTACCGCAACATCTCATGGTACAAATCTCCGACAAAGAAATTCCTCATCTGGACTCAAGCCCCCAAGAGTACCAGGCGCAAATCCTGCAACACCGCTACTGACGTCTCCTGCCGTTAATAATGGTACTGGAGTAACAGGACCAGCAGGGACAAATCCTGGATTATTTCCAAGGTTAGTAAAAGTCTATCAAAAAAAATTTTTTTGCTGTTTTTGCATGAATTGTGAAGTAACAACTGTTATGAATTCTGTATAATCTCATTCATTTGTGTTTGTGGTATTCGTATTTATTGTGTTTGATAATAATGAAAATTAAAAATATTTTGTGAAAAAATATTCTATTGACTTTCAAATTATCAAAAAATAAAATAAGAAAATTTTAAATTACTTCATTACACAGGAATAGCTTGCATTGTTAATAAATGATTTAACAAAACAATCAGAAATATTACGTCAGATCAAAATAAATATCATTATTAAATGATATTTTTCTCGAAGAACAAGTAGCCTATAAAATTCTTTAGTTTCAAAATTTTAAATGAGAATAGAACTTAGCAAAAAAAATTCTAAAGATGTTGGTGAGAGTAACTGTGCTTGAAAAAGTGCATATTACATTGTATCTTTTTCATTTGTGTTTTTCCTCATAAATAAATTAATCATCTTTGTATTCTAGTATTTCTCCACCAGTCTTATTCATTAAAAGAATCCTACATTAAAATAGAACGTAACAATTTAATTACTCAAAATGATCTAGACTTTCAAACAATGTATGAACATGAAAGAGTACTACACTGTTAGAACTTTCTTGGAAAAAATGGTTAAATGCCAATTTATATGTTATTTTATCATATTCAACTAAAAAAGTCAAATAACTATAAAAAAAATGTCATTCAAACAATTAACTGAGAGAAAAATAGTTTTTTTTCTTACTGTTTTCACCTAATACGGTTACACAATCAGAATTTTATTCGCGCCAAGAGGCCCACAATATAAAGCCGTTTAGTTCTTTGCGGCAAGCTACTTACTGTAGCCGAGAGAGCTAATCTGTCTATCTCATGACAGACTAACAGACTAAACGAGGGTTCGAATCCCAGAGCTGACGCAACTTTTGTTCCTTCAACAAATGAACAGTTTCCAGCTCTCCTTAATTGGTGACCCTAGGCTTTTCATAAAAGCTGACGCATAGATAGTAGCACAACTGAGTTGCTTTACACAAAAAGTCTAGTATTTTCTAATTCTCACGATAGATAGCACCATCAGAAAAACTAATTGAGCCACATTGTGCGGTTCACTTAGAAAAACACTACTTAACCGCAACTTAACTCCAATGTCCATTATCTAATGAAAATTCTAGCGTAATCTAACTCCTATGTCTGCCTAAATTAGTTTTTTTTCTTTTTTTAACACGCCAGCTTTAACGATTGCAAAACTGTAAAAGTGAGAAACGTTCCTAACCGTAAACTTTACGCTTAATTGGATGGACAGACTGTTGCCAGTTATTTCACCATGATTTTAGAATGAAAATTCTAACAGTGTAGGTCTAATGATAATGAAAAGATCTGGTTGGAATAGCTTAAAAAATGTTGAAACTTCTAATTACCATATTTCTCTTAACAATGCAAGTTCATGTATTTTAGTAACAGGGTTTAAAATACTGTAAAAAATACTTCAAATTTTTACTTTATATTTTATTACAAAAGACTTTATATGTAATAGATTCTATTATTATTATTATTTATCCATCATCGTTTTTTATTTTATTTTTTAAATAAGTTGGAAAATTAGTGTATTTTTAAGTTTCTTAAATTTAAAAATAGTTTTATTTAGCGTGCCAGCAAATAATAGTTTTGGTTTTATTCTTAATATTTTGTAAATATAATAATTATTCCACTTAAAACAGTAAAGATCATCTATCATAAATCTTAAGATTAAGAAAAAGCTTTTTTATGTGTTTATTTTTAGGCAAAATAAATCTTTAAGTTATTTAATGACAGAAAATGGCACTAATATAACAGTATTGTTTAAAAAAATAAGATAAATGTGAATATTCACAGGGAATACGGTTGAGAACTATTTTTTTAAAATAATTCAATAATGCATAATCTGTATTGATAAATTCTGATGCATTCAGCCCTGTAATCTCAATAGGTCTGTGAACTTGTAAGCAAAAAGTAAATAAAAAGTAATCTTTAAATAGTTTTTAGCTCATTATTTAATCAAAATATTTTTAGTTACGCAATTCCGAGACTTAAATATGTTTTACAAGAAAAGCACCGCATGTGCTCCTCGCCAATCAAATGAATTATTATATATTAAATGCTCTCACCCATAAGACAATTTTTGTAAAAAAAATAATTTCACATACTTTATATTAAAAAAAAAACATCGTCTATTTCTTTTGACACTGCGAATTCACTGGCTTCAAATTTATTTAACAAATACTGCAGCAATTCAAAAGTATTGTATACTCACATAAAATTCGACTGTTTGAAAAATAATTTATGGTCGTTTCGGCATAGATTCAATGATATAAGATTTTTAATTCGTAAAGATCTGTTTGGATCGAGAATTTCACAAAAACTATTGTACACGCTATCATTTTACAAAAAAAAAAATTATATGTTTCGAAATTATCATCATTAACGAATGAAAAAATTAAAGATGACAAGAAAAAAGTAATTTTTTGAATGATTGCGTTTTTGGCTGAAATAAATTTTTCTGCCTAACTCTAATATTTAGAAACAAAATATTTTATATAAGAACTAAATATTTTATATAGAAACTGAATATTTTATATAATAATAGTAATAATTACTAAAATTACTATAATAATTTATTAAAGTAACAGCCATATTACTTAAAACAGTGCAGCTAACACTGAAAGTTCTTTAAATGATTAATTTGTCCATTTTTTTAAAGAGCGCATAAAATCTGAATATCTACGCTAATTTTAGTAGCTAAATATCTATTATTGCAACAGTACCTGTTGCTTGTTAGAATAATAAGTAGCGTTTAATCTTTTAATTAAGGCAAATCATAACAAAAAGTCGTGTCATCACACTTTATTTTTATATTTTTATCTAATTTTTATATTTTTATCTAATTTAAGTGTAATGAGGCACTCTTAAAAAGAAACAACTGTTTCCCTGTGAAAATTCACTTTTTTCTCTACGTATTGTGAAATATTGTTCGCTTTGCTTGTTCTTGTGTTTCGTGCTGGCACCTCACTATCTTCCACGTTGAACTGCGCGTTCTAGTGTGTTTCGCGTGTGGTTGTTTTGCACATCCTGTTATCACTTCTGGCCCCTTTCTCCTGTTTCTTTTCCAGCCCGCTGGCTAACACAACGCACGGCGCCCGGACCGACGACACATTTGCTGGCTTACACCTAGCCTATGAAGTGAAAAAACTCATGTATGCCTCTACTTTCTACTTCTACTTCTTCATTTTTCATGCTCTGGCTATTGTCTGCCTTTTATTCCTTATTTGGTATGTTTGGATAGTAGCCCTCTTATACCATCCTCTCTCGTAAGAATCAGAGGTAACCACATAGTGTAGAATATATATTGAGGCTTGCACTTAGTGTGACATCCTCTTTAAAACTTCAATAGACTTAGTATTTTTACCCTTCATCAATAGTTTTTTTTTTTTTTTAAATTCCTTAATTTAGCTTTTACACTCCTTACTTTTAATATCACTACTTCCTCCCAAATCCTTTTACTATGAAGTTTATTTTCATTAAAAAAAATTACAGCAAGAACTTAGAAAAGCAAAAATAAAAAATGTGAAGCTCTTGCAAAGCTTAGTTAATTTGATATCTGTACAAAAAATTTAACGAGTTTTTCGAATGTAGACATTTATTTTTGTGTACAAGAAGATGAAGGTAACGTAAAGTTTAAGAGGACTTTATCCAAGACCACTATATATTGTGCATGTATTGAAAAAAATGCATGTTTTGTCACTATACACATGTTTATTTTGTCTTGAATTATGCATCTAGAACTTTTTGCATTGCATGTTTTTTAAATTGCACTTGCTATGCATGAAGTATGCATTGCTATATCCCTGCGTATGCATTGATGTTCATGCTATATTTATTATGCACTATCACATACAATTCCCATGAAGGAAAGAAATGATTTCTTTCTATTTTAATTATCTTTTTTGTATGTAGTACTCGAATAATACATGATAATTAATTAAATAAATTATGGAAAAATTATTCCTTAGTAGGTTAAATAAAACCAAATTTAAGTTTTCTGTTTTAAACGCAAAAAATGGTTTGCTTACCCTATGTCTTTAGCTCATAAATTTTAAACGAAAAATCATACATTATTTAATCTAAGTTTATTTGATTCGAAATTGCACAAATATATTGAAAAAGAACTGCAAGCATTGTGTTTTCATTACTTTTATACACAATAGATCAAACAGAACTGCAAGTGAAACAGCTGCATCACAGAAACACAGTTATGCTAAATGTTTATTGCTCATTCCATAGCTCAGTTCATATCTGGAATATTATCTTAATATTTTTTGTAAGAAACATTCAAAATTCTTACATTATAGATGCTGTAAATGGAATAAATGTGAAAGTTATTGATTACTTTTTGGTAAATGTACACATACTTTTTAAATAGTTTTAAAATAATCTTGAACTTTTCAAAGCTTTTATAAAGCTACTAATGAAATCCATTGAAAAAAATACAGAATTTTAAAAAAAATTTCAATAATTCAGACGACATTTAAAAATGTTCAGAATTTTTAAAAATATCTTTTCAAATAATTCAACAAACCCTCACATTTCATACTATCTAATACAAATACTTTATATCGATGTGTATACTTATTTAATTTCATAAAAATAAAAATGTATCACAAGTTAACCTATTAAATGTATTCCAGTATATATATATTTTTTAAAATGTTCCTCATTTCTTTCCTCGATTACCCAAATCAGACCAATTTTCATTTGTAGATGTTGAAGAAAAATAAACACCTTTCATGTAAAATCAGCTTGTAGCGGCATATTTATAGAATGTTTTAAAATTAGTACAAAATTTTTATTAATAATTTTGGAATTCCATTTTTACTCTCTGATTTATTTCATACTCTTTTTATAAAAATACAAATATTATTTGCAGGTTAGTTTTTTTTATCAACCTTATGCCTGTGCTTGTTTTTTTATCCCTTTAAAAATTTTAACAATTTTATTTCTAGTTGAATGAATCTCCTTCCACTTTTAAACTAAACAAAATATTTTTAACTAGTTTAACTCTTCACAAATCAAAGCACTTGCATTATTTTCCTTTCTACTATTATTTTTTATTAAAATTTTATCTCTACAAAATAAAACGTAATTATTTAAACTTTTTAACCATTTTCTCAACTATTGACGTTTATTTATCTCTTTTACTTTTTAATATTGTTTAGTTTTTAAGGAAATAAAACTTTAAATGTTTGACTATCTTTTTGATTAAACTATGTTTAGATTTCGACTGCAATTATAAAAGAAATAGAGAGCTAGCAAAGCTTTTCGAAATAACAAAAGCGAAGTCGAGTAATATCGCCATGACAGAAATCAAATTTTTGAAAGTAAAAAAAAATGACGATATTGTTTACAATAACAGGTTCAAATAGCACATTAAGTGCATATACATTGAACATGTACTTGACGATGGAATAGACTTTTTACTAGTTAAAAGCAAGTATCTCTGATAGCTTAAAAATATATATAAATAATTATAATGCCCCATTTAAATACCTTTAATTGAATTATTTCAAATTTTAATACTAAGCGCATTCACATTATGAAGCTCAAATATGAAGTTTTAAAATACTACTTATTCGCCTACATACGAAATACATACCATCCCTTTCTAATGATGACCATGGTAAGAATACCACGCAATAGTCTCTGAGCTGGTACTTTTATCTCCAAAATTCCACATCACACCAAGAAAAGGACTTTTAGCCTAGACATATTTAACGTGCACCTCGTTATTTTTCGTCGGTTAAGTCATCTGGTGGATTGAACTCATGATTTACAGATCTTCACCTCATCATTTGCGTGATTTACGTAGGCTAAACGATTTTGTTCTTTACGTTAAAAAATCATGAAAACAAGTCTGTTAAATTTCAACAATTCTCTGGCGAAGGCGAAATGAATAAGCATGATACTAAATAATTATTTGTCGTCACTTAAAACTGAATAAAATTTTTCTTTTCATGAAATATAGTATTTTTTTGCAAAGTTTTATTAAATTTATTTTCAAAACAAACTGAAATGGAAAATATTAATCGAAGAATAAAAACGCAATGATTATAGGACATTGTTGAATAATAAAAAAAATATTTTTGTAAGAACTTCATAGTATTCGTTATCGTGCGTAGCAGTTGCCTGTATAATCGTATATAAAGACAAGTCATCTTTCATTTGAAATCACAAAAACAGTCTCCTCATGAACAATTCATCAAAATATTTGTTATTGATGACAACACAAATTGAAAGCACATGAGTAACTGGAAAGAGACTGTGGTTTTTACTATTGTTGATCATAAGACAAAGCAGGACTCAAGCATTTAACAAAAGAAACTAAAAAAAAAGTACGTGATACACTTAAACTACATAACAAGGAACAAACGGTATGTTATTCATACAGCATTAATCATGCTTTAGAAATGAAGTAGCAAAATATGAGGATTTCTCACTGGCTATAAGCTGGGTTTTTAATGGTCATGGATCTATGACTCCCCAATTTCGAGACAAATGAAGTGATCCTAGCACTGCTGCTATGACACCATGACACTGCGTTACCTATCTTTATTTGCTCAAGCTAAATGACATTCCTTTTGCCCTTTCCCAGTTAACTACAGTAGTTTCATTTGCCTGAATGAGAATTCAGGCAAATTGACAAGCTCAAACATTTGTGAGTTAAATTTCCACAAAATTGAACATTTAAGATCGGGAAGCACATAAAGTTTTAGAAAGATATATTTTATACGCTGTAAAATAAGTAAGGGTTTTATTGCTGGGTACTTGAAGAAATCCATTTTCCCACTTAAAAAGTTGTTAATGTTCTTTTTTTCCAACTAATTTTTTAAAGAAAGTAGTACAATTTTTCTATAATACTTATTGAATTAAGTTTTAAAGTAAAGACAGTAGTACAACAGAACTCTAAATTCATTTTTTAAAAGTTAATATCGTAAATTAAGCAAAGACTGATTAAAGATTGACAATGACTTATAAATTACAAGATGCGTTTAAAAATAACTCCATGTCTGATTTTTCTGCAAAATAACAACTTCAAAGTGCATAGCACCAAAAGAACGATACAGGTAGGAACTATGTCCCAAAATCATGGATTTCGTGGAGCAAATCTGTAAAATGATTTCTAGAATAACACTTGTAAAGCAATTTAAAATGCAAGTATAAATGCAAGTATAAAAAAATATTATAAAATTATACAGGTACAGCTTCAAATTCAAAGCACGAGTTCAGTGAATGACTTACATATTAGTTATTTCTAAAAATAAAGATTTAGTGGAGAAAAGCTTGAAATTAATTCCTAAAATGTCCATTTTAATGTAAAAACTTTAAATACTGTTAAAAAGACAAAACTTCGTTTTTGACCGTTTTTCCTAAACTGTTATACTTTAAAATCTATTATATAAGGCACTATTTCAAAGAATGACCCTCATGCTAGCAATTAAGTGCTGAAAACATAGGTTTTGTTGAGAAAAGTTTATAATTAATTTCTATCATTTCCCATGCAACGTCAAAAGTTAGATCTCAGTTTTTTAATAAAAATATTTGAAGCTCGATAGTTATTTTCGAAATATATTGCAGCTCGAAACTAAAGTATTTGGCACGTATTTCTTAAAAATTAGCAATGTTTAAGTTAACTTGTTTATGTTTGACTTGCTTCAACTCCATGCAAGTTAATTATTCCTTTTAGAAAAATACGCCATTTATGCATTTCAATAATAAATTCCTTTTTTGTGTGTGCTTCCATTTTTATTAATAATTGTATGATATATTCTCTTATAATGCAATTTCCTTTATTAATTTCCACTGCAGGCCCACTAGTAGGGCGGGTGGCACGAACGGATCAAACAAACAAGAAGGGCCTTTGGCAGTTGGTCTTGCTGATGATCAAGCAAAGGATTTTGACTTTGAAAAAACAGAAATGAAATACGATTCAACTGGAATGTTCCACTGGTGTCCGGCAAAATCTCTAGAAGATTGCATATTGGTTAGTTGCTCGTGATGCTTATGTCGTTCATAGTATACTGACGATAGTTTTTTTTCTTCTCTTTCCTGTAAAATTATGTTACATTTACTCTATTATAGTAGTAATCGAGAAGAAATTGAATTTCGAATTACTATCTGACATGTTATTCGATAGGGAAACGAAGTATCCCTTTGATTTCGTTTTCAGACGACATTTAAAAGCGTTTCATTAATTAATGGCATATTTACCGAGATAAAAAAAGAATAGTATAAAGCTTGATGAACTATTGATAAAAATGTATAGCATATTCTCTTATCAAAATAATTCATTTTTCTTTTTAGAAAAGTAAGTCGTTGAAATTTTTCCTTATTTAATAATGGAGAATCAATTTTTGAATTGTAGGGTATAAAATTTTTTATATACTCTTAATAAAGGACATAATCTCAAGTTCGGTTGAATTATATTAAAAAGTTGCATTCACTAATCTCGATTCCGCCACTGGCTAGGTAAACTAAATGTAAGATTTTTATTAAATAAAAAAGTTGGTAACTAGTTGGTAGATCACAGTGAGATTTAAGAGTGATGCGGAAGCTTAGAAGCTGAGTAAGTTTGGTAAACACTAGTCTAAAATATTGGATCCTTCACAGTCAAATTGCAGCTTCTTTCATATTTTAAAAATCAAAAATATAATTCCGTAAAAAAAGGGAATGTTTGCTACAGAAAACACGTTTTTGTGCTTGAATTCGTAATTAAATTATCGTCTGCAGGAATTAATTAGCATTTTAATAGAAGCCCTTTATACAAAAAGATTGCTCCTTAGTGCGTGAATTTCATTAAAACTTATTCTTACATTTATTTATTTTTAATTTTTAATTTTTACCACCTGTGCTATAAATAAGGCAAAGCTGGTTAGATTTATTATGAGTTAATTCACTATTGTTTTAAGAGTATAGAGCAACTTAATGTTGTTTCGTTGCGTGCAATTAAGATCCGAAAAACTACAAATTTTGCCCCTTAGCAACATTTTTTTTTGAGCTTATGGCCATCAATAATCAAGCAAACTATTTCTATAAAATGAATCTTTTTCTTGTCTTTATTATCCTGGTATTTTTGAAGTATTGTAGAAGTTATATGTTTTGTTTTATTAGGACCGAAACCAAGCTGCTATGACAGTTCTTAATGGCCATGTCGTAGTCTGCCTGTTTGCTGATCCAGACTCACCACTGATTGGTCTTCGAAACCTTGTAATGCCACTGCGTGCGAGCAACTTTCATTACCACGAACTCAAACATGTTGTAATTGTTGGTAACGTTGACTATCTTCGCCGTGAATGGAAGATGCTACAGAATCTACCGAAAATCTCTGTACTTAACGTAAGTTGATTTTTATACGATACTTTAAAAAAAATTACCTTCTCCTTAAATATTCTTTAATATCAACTTCACCGATAAATAACTCTATACTCCGTTGCAAGTTAAGAAAAGACCATTGCGGTATATTGGATTTAAGTAATTATCCCTGACTGCTTATAATTCTGTTTTATTTCATCATCAAATTATGCAAAAATGCTTTTAAAACAAATTAAAAGCTTTAAGAACTTAAACACGTCAAACAGAAATTTAATTCGTGCTATCTTTTACGATAACTACCACAGAATTAATAATAAGAAAAAAAGATTCTAGTTTCGAAATCTTATTGGATTCCTAAACTTGATGACATATTTCAATAAATAAGAACATTCGTTCTTGAAAAAGAAACAACTATATGACTTTGTAGGAGCATTTGGGATTTGATTGGACCACAAAAAATGGCGAGTCTTATGCTGATATGCTTTTAACAAATCAAACGCGAGAGAAGAGATTCTTAAATTTGATTCACTGTAGAATAAAATCATATGCGAAAAACAATATTTATCATTCTTTCATATATTTTTTTTTTTTTTTTTGTTAAATGCAATTTTTTTTGTTAAACGCATATTTGTTACGATTGTTAGATATCATTTTTATCAACTCATATTGCTTGTTAATTGATTATTCAATAAGTTTTGTTTTCCTCATTTAACATGACTTAAGAAAGCAAGCAAGAAGAAGGCTGTGCAACGTCGTTTTAAAAGTTGGCGATGTTGATATACGTTCGCGCTGGGACCTCGGCATCCAGTTGGCAAATGCAAACAGGCTCTCTCTATAGGGAAAATGGATTTTTCTTAACTAGCAACAGAGTATAATAACTTTTTAAACATTTGCTCAAATAATTCCTATAAGATTAAATGAAATCATTTTTACTACCGTAAATTTGAGGATTTGGTTGTGGTTTTTCCCTTACAACTCTTTTGCCATTCATTTTGTTTTTAAGCAAAAGTTCAAGTTTCTGACACATTTAAAAGCTATTAAGGCTCATTTGTCAGTAGTTCGTTTACTTGGGTGAAAGATTGAAAAATGATATTTCACTGTCTAATCGAATTTTAAAAACAGTGCGAATGCTTGAAAATTACATTATAAGTTAATAATGACTACAATTTTATTTAAATAAAGATTTAATTTGATTAAGATTTGAATTTTAAGATTGATTACTAAAAAAATAGATAAAAACGTGAAGACCGTGAATTTAAATCAGTTACTTATTGATATTGTTTGTTTATAACTCGGTACATATGATTACTATAACGTTTTGTAAAATGTATAACTATTGGTTTTAGTCACTAAATATAACTTATTAAATTGTATCTCTGAATATAAGATGAAGATGGAGTTAAAGAAAAATTAATTCGTTTTGTTCGTAATTTTAATGTCTACCACTTCGATGGCTGACTAATTATTAAGTTGTACAAGAAAAACCTATTCGCAATCATTATGTATCTAAAAGCAGCGTTTATTAAATTTTACAGACTTTCTGAAAGATTACTGTAACAGACTTTCAATGATTTGTTTGTTTGAATCATTTCAGGGCTCACCTCTGAGCCGAGCTGATTTGAGAGCAGTGAACATCAATCTATGTGATATGTGTGTTATATTGTCAGCCAAGATACCGAGTAGTGATGATCCTACGCTTGCAGATAAGGAAGCCATTTTAGCTTCATTGAACATAAAGGCTATGACCTTTGATGATACCATAGGAGTGCTAACACACAGTAATAATTCTCATTCCTTTCAATTTTTATTCTTAAATATTTTCTCTTTCCTCATTTTTAAATAAAATGCATCATTGTAGAAAACAGAAATGCTACAGAATACTAATCTGATCTGACAAAAATCGTTTTAGAAGTCTCCATAAAAGGCTGATTTTGCCTTAAAAACTTAGCATGGTTTTAAAAAGGAAATGCTGATGAAATGATACAAAAATTTCAAAAACTAATAAACATAACTGTAATATTTCATACTTTCTTTTTTCGATTTTAATAGAAAATGTAAAGTATAATATTTATAGTAAAATATGGATAAATGTATTTCGCAAATCGTACATTATAAATTCACAAATAGTACACTCGTACACTGCACATACATGCTATTATCTTACATTGATACAATTATGCACTTACATACATAAATGCATGCATACGTATCTACATCATTTTCACATTCATTTATACATATATTTTCTACGTATACGAACATGCAACACAATGCATTTGTATACAAACTAATATACATGCGCACATGTATCGTATATATACATAATTATGTGTACTAAGCATATACGCATTGCCTTATGTGTATTACAATATAATTATGTGTATTGTACGTACAAACATGGTTTGTAAATACATTGTATATGTATAAATAGGAATCACGAATTGTATGTATATGTGTTTACATTCTTTGTACATAAAACTAGGTATCCCCCTACATACTTAGCTAATGTATTTACATATAGTATGCAATCGTAATTACTTGAAATCGTATAGTTTGATTACAAGTAATCACAATTACTTGTAATAACGATTACTTGTAATCATGATTGCATGTAGTCGTATAATTTGATCACTTATAATCATAATTACTCGCAATTGTTTTCGTTGTCACTTTCAATCGCAATGACTTAGAATCATGATTACAGTTGTAATCAAAAACATTGAAAGTTGTAATCACGATTACAAGTAATTGATTACTGTAATTGATTGTTGTAATCACAATTACAGCTGTAATTAAAATTATGTTATCTTGTAATCATGGTTACAAGTAATTGATTACTGTAATCAAAAAAATTTAATCGTTCACATTTTTGGTCAAGTCTGCTTTACCTACCGGAACAGTATTTTTGAAGAAAAACCAGTTTCGAAAATTTTAGATATGTTTTTCTTTATCTCGTTACACCTGTATCTTAAAGTTCAAAAATCTATCTACTTTTTTAGACACCTAAATTTCATAAATAGAAATATTACATTTTGTATTATTGATAAGATTATTTATTTGTATATTACACAGGATTAGCTCAAATGAATGATTGGATTTTAAATATTTATTTTCAAAACAATTACACTAATGCGTAATTGTTTTGAAAATATAAATCAAAAAGCTCAAACGAATGATAGAATTTTAAACATTTATATTTTCAAAACAATTACACTGTTGTTGTTGTTACACATCCCCCTGGAGAAGGAAAGCCTACACCAGGTCCAGAAGACCCCGTCGCGTCAGTTTCCCATATATCTGCAGAAAGTCCCGATCAACCAGCAGCTGCTTATAAGAAGTGCCAAGGCAAAAAAGGTGATCAGGACTAGCAGGCTGTGAGCAGGAACACAATTACACTAAAGACAATATGTGTCACAAAAGAAAAATCACAATACGTTGTAACATTATGTTATTTTATCTATATCGTTAATGTTGATTTTGTTTGTGATAACCGGACAAAGGTAACCAAAGATAATTCGTAAGAATGTGTGATTAAATTAATTTTTGATTGATTAGAGCTGCTAATGAACAAATCTCCTTATTATGAAATCTCATAAACTGTACAATCTAATGAAATCTTATAAACTGTACGCACTGTACATTGATTCAACTATTTATAATGAGAACAAATTTATCTTGCTTTTGTTACACTTTGTTATTGAACTATTATTATTACTTACCATTAAATAAAAATGCTAAAATGTCTTTATTTTATAAATATAGATCCAGGAGGCCCAGATGCCTTATCTCCCCTCGGTAGTCCCATAGTTATGCAAAGACGAGGATCCGTTTATGGGACTAATGTTCCTTTAATAACAGAATTAGGTAATTTTATTTACAAATTTTAAACTTTGGGGAAAACAATTTACTGTATTTTTAGTTCTAGATGCTAAGAATAGTGAGTGTCTGGCAATAAACATCTTATATTTTAAAAATCCTTATCAAAATTATATTAAAAAAAACTATGCTTACTTTGGATTGATAATTATTGTTAATTATTTGTAATTTGATTGATAATTATCTATTACATTGGATGTCGATGAAAGCAATTTTTAACTTTTTAAAGGATTGTCTTTTTGATTTAATTCTTTATAAAAATTCTTTATAGACATATAGGATATTAAAGACAATCATTACAGAACATCTTTAATACACTTAGATCTATATACTTAAAGTGAAGAATTTTTTTTAATATTATGACGGTGTTAATTTATTGCCAATTTCATCAAAAAATATTTTTAAACTGTGTTGAAAAGCGGTGTCACTTGACAAATTTCTTTGTCGTTGGAAAAAAATTAATCATAAAATTATAGAGTTTCAATTAACATAGATGCCCATGTCTTTAGATGCAGGTATTTAAAAAATTGGACTTAATATCTCGTAAAGCTCTTTTTTTAAAAAGAAAATGTTTCCGGATAAGGAAGCTTTCCTAAAATTATATGTTTAGCTTAATTACGTATAATTTCGTACTGCGATAAACTTAACGAAACGTTCTTTTTCTTATTTTTTTCTTCGACTTTTTCTGTTAACTACTCTCGTTTAATATTTCTTATATTTTTTCGGAAGAAACTAAGGATTTTTTCCGATGAATCTAAATTTTTTTTTAAAAAAAAAAGGCAAAATCTTCAATGAATAATTAAGAGCCTTAAATGTTACAAAGAGGACAGTTTTATACTTTCTTGGAAACAGATTTGTAATTTTAATCGTACTTCACCGGGTGTGAAATGAAAATAGTGTTTCTCATTAGCATTTTACATATGTAAAAGAACCATCGTATTTCGTAATGGATATTTTTTAATCATGTAATATAAAAATTGAGCAAGTTTATTCACATAAGTAACTAAGGGAAATGATTTTATTGCTTTCAGTGAATGATACAAACGTACAGTTCTTAGATCAAGACGATGATGATGATCCTGATACTGAGCTCTATTTGACCCAGCCTTTTGCCTGTGGCACTGCCTTTGCTGTCAGTGTCCTGGATTCTTTGATGAGCACAGTACGTATAAAAAAAAATATTTCTCACTCCACAATTTCAAATAAAGTGTATTTTTAGGTAATTGTAAGTTTACCAGTTAAATGTATTAAATCAAGATTTTTACGTTATGAGTTACTTGGTTTTTCGTGTCTCTAAAATTTAAAATCATTCGACTATTTTAATATTCATTTTCATGTTTCATTAGATTAAAAATATGTTTAGTATTTCGTAGTCTTAGTATGTTGCATTTATCCCATAAGGTTTTTTTTAAAAGAAATATACACTTTTTTGTCCAACTCAACAATATTTATCCACTATGTTAGCAAAAAAAATAGATCCCAATACTGCAAAAAATATCTTCTAATCTCAAAATGGAATAACGCGCCTGTTATAGAAATATATCGAATCTCATTCATAATAAACAAAGCTGAAATAGATTAACAGATTTTGGATTTCTTTTTTATTTTATTTAATTTTTTGCTATTTTTCGGTAACTGAATTTGTAGAAAAGATCCATTGAAATAAATATAAACATGGGAAAATTACTAAAATTCAAAAATTATTTTGTGTCAATAATTAACAAGTAATTTCTTAGGAAAAAAATTAAAACTTTTGTGACAATATGCATGAATTTATGTGATATTGATAAAACATATTTTTACCCGCCAATTTGTTTTTCTTTTTTATAGACGTATTTTAATGCGAACGCCCTCACCCTGATCCGATCATTGGTTACCGGGGGAGCAACACCGGAGCTGGAACTGATCCTGGCAGAGGGCGCAGGACTCCGTGGTGGCTATAGCACTCCAGAGTCACTGGCTAACAGAGACCGTTGTCGCGTGGGCCAGATTTCCTTATATGATGGACCCCTCGCTCAGTTTGGGGTAAGCATACCTTAATCTAAATCCCTCAATTTTAACTCAAGTTCACGCATTCAAAAAAAAAAGATTTCTTCCAGAAATATATTTCTTAAAACATATTATAACTTACCACAGATAATACAATCTATTGTCAAGTCCTGGCTATCATCAGCAAATTTTCTTTTAAAATTGAGAAAAACTTTTCTTGTTGCTACATATACAAAATGTCTTATATTTTCCGCCTTTAATGTCTAATTTAGAATCTTCGTAAAAAACGAAGACTAACTAAGTATACGCATCGGAAAGTATTATGAATGACCCATTATTGCACACAACAGATTTATTGCGCACCTTATGGCTGACATTTTATCGAACTCACATCTTCATGTGTTATCATCAAGAGAGAGTGAGTTGTAATTAGTCAACAGCTGACATCTTCAGTTCAGTGGAAAACTCTGATTGCTCATTTTGATAAATTAGGTAAACATGTGTCGTACATGATCAGATAAAGAGGACATACAAGGTAAATATCTTAAAGTTGTGACTAATCTATGCATATGTATGCATTTTCCTATTAATTTTTTAAGTAAATTATTGTTGCCGTATCTTTGCTTATTTGTTGCTTTATTTGAATGAATTTAGTTATGATTAAACTTCGGTTTCGTCTTCCGCGTATTCATGTAATTTTAAAATTTAGTTAATGCATAATTTATTATCATTTATCTTTACAATAAGAAACCTTTACAATAAGAAAGGAGTTTTTAACTGAAGATTATCTTACATCTCCTGTAATTTCAGTTTTGCATTTATTTCTAAAATCGGAATTAAAAACTCGCAAATTGTCCAATAAATACATTGATAAGTTATGAAAGTTAAGGTATAACATGTTTTTTGTGCCGAATTCGGAAACAATTGAACACAAAAGCAAGATCTCTGGAGGAAAAATTGCACTTAATAGTTCTTCAATTGTCACACAAAACTTTACATAAATTCAAACAGCCATAATAAACAGCAAAAAAGCAAGCTTAACAGATAGTTCTGTCTAATAAGAGCAAGCAGTGCACCACAGTGTTATGTGGAATATGGTTTTTGAAATGTTACAAAAATGTGTTCTAGTCAGGAATGTAACTGAAATTCATTGTAGTTATGACTTCCCAATTTCTAATTAATCGAAGTAAATCTATCGGGATTAATCGGGAGCAAAATGGAGAACAAAAACATAACATGACATAATTCTTGTTACAGCTCATGTAATGGCCATAAGGGTTCAAACCAGCAACTGGTCTTCCAAGGTAATCCCCAACATTCCAGATCAGATTTAGGTTTATAGATATTGCTGGCTAAAGCAGTAATAGTGCCTCTTTTTAAAAAAATGGAGGGTCATGCTATGATTTAACATATTTTTCAGACCATCAAACGCTAGCTTCCATAATAGTCGATTTCTCGAACATCGGAGGGCAGGCAGCAGTTCCTGGTTGATACTTTGGCATGGAGAGAGAGCTATGGATACTTTACCTACCTCCTACTGTCTGAAAAAAACGGCAACTATGGAAGCAAAATTTGTCTGTCTAAGGAGACATTATGCTCGATGGCCACTTAATTCTTTGTGTCTTTGAAAGAGGCACAGTTTGAATACAAAAATGTGCTTATAAATTGATTTGTTCTGACTCTATTTTAATGGATGACAGGTCTTATCATGCCAAGTGATTCTTTGGAATGCGAAGATATTCACCGGAGGAATTTGTCATCCAAATCCCCTGACCCAAATCTGATATAGAATGTTTGGTATTTTCTTGCCAGATAAGCTCCTGCTTTAAATCTTCTTTCACGGTTAATACAATAGCTGAAGCACCACCTATTCAGCCTCCAACTTATTTGGTAACATAAAAAGTCAATACCGCTAATGCATAACACATCCCTTACTAGAACCCTTTTTTTCTGTTACGTAGACAACGTTTAACGTAAAAATGCGGCGTAATATTTTATTTAAGAAGAAATTTTTCTGTCGAGATTGCGTTGAATTTATGTCAATTTTCTTGGAGCACTAATGAAAGAACTGTTTAGTGCACGTGTTTTCCACGTTTATTGTTTCTATATTTATTCGTTTTCAAATTATATACAGAAAACTTATTGCTCCTTAACATTTAAAAGGACCTATAAATTAACAGCATGATTTCTTGCTTTATACACTTGAAGATTTATGGGTAAAAATATTCTTCGTTTTAGGAGGGAGGTAAATACTGCGATTTGTTCGTATCGGCCCTCCGCAGCTACGGCATGCTTTGTATAGGGCTCTACCGGTTCAGGGATACCAGCTCATCCTGTGAAGCGTCTTCAAAACGCTTTGTTATCACGAACCCTCCTGCAGATTTTCTACTCCTTCCCACAGATATGGTAAGTCTTTTTATCAATTGTCTTCCAAAATATAAAAGTACGTGTTTATACCTACGAGAGCGTTGAGGGAAAATATTGGATAGAAAAAATAAGCTTTACCGAGCAATTTTATTTATCGATAAATTTTTTTTCTCAATTTTGAATATGTGGAAATTCTGCATTGCAAGAAACTGAAAATAAAAAAAGGTAAAAGTAGTTTCTTGTTTTAACTGGAATAAATACAGCCTAATTTTTTCTATCAACAACGTGAGTGGAAAAAAAAATTTGTTTTTGAAAGTTTAGGATTTCAAACAGATAGAAATCGGTCACTGTAATCACATATTTATCAAATTCTTTTCTAGCCAAATTATAAAATAATTAGGTTTTCGGGAAAGTTTTCATTTGGTATCAAAAATGTAAATTTCAAATTTTCTTTAAAGCATAAATACAAAAGTAGTTTTATCTTTCAAGTTCAAAAATGTAAACTTTCGAAGATAAAGTAACATCAAAATTATTATGAAATATAGCATTTAAGACCAGAATCTACAGGAAAATCTTAACTTTTCTTAACATATACGCATATTTTCAATTTTTAACCCAATCTTTCAGTTATTTATATTAATTCGGATTACATTAAAAATTTTATGTAGATTTCAGTAAACTAAATGCTATATTTTCATACATAGTTATTTTTACTGTTAATTTATAAATTAAACTTGAAATCTAAAATTTTTTCAATATACGAGTATTTGCTTTAAAAAATAAAATTTACGTTTTTTCACCCTAAAAATGGAACTTTAGGCCCATTCCAGAAAATTAAACTATTTTTGAAATTGATTAAAAGTACTATGGTAAATATGTTGTTATAATGACACTAAGCAATAAACTCGTGATTCTGAATTCGAAAAAGCATTTTTCGTGATACAGTCTAGAGCGTACTTGAAGTCAATCAGTCAAGTTGAGGAGAGTAACAAAATTAAACATTTAATTGCAACAATACACGAATCCATCTTCAAGAATGAATGAGCAGCATAGTGAGCTCTCGGTGATATTGAATTAAACAAGTCCCTTTACTCCTAAACTAATCGATTATTACATTTGCCCACATTTCATGAGTTATTCATTTATATTGGCTGTTTCCTAAAGTATACATTTATTTGATAATTTAAATTTTATTTTGTCACAAAGCTTTTTATGGCCTGCATGTTTCAAATCAGAAACAGTTTTTTCACTGTTCCATCTACATTTAAAAATTCATTTTAATCTCTTAGTAAGTATCTTTTCCAAAGAGTTACACACTCGGAATCTTAATAATGGTTTAAAAGTTCCCCATGGAATTCTAACGACGTAATATACGGAGTTTTCATACTCACCAAATGTTAAGAAAAAGAAAAAGTAAAGCTAAATATGCATACCTCAAATCAACTGATTTCTTCTCATTTACCCTCAAAACCCAAATTATATTCAATGTATATTTTAAATTATGTATTATCTTTCAATATATTAATACTCATTCATTTACGGTTGAAAATTTCTTTTCTGTAATACAATTAAATCTGGTGAACATTATTAAATACAAATATTAAAATTAACTAGTTCAAATGTATGTACCTTCAAAAGTCTATGTACTTTTCCTATTTATAATCTTATAATTATCTTTTAAAGAACTGCTTCACTAATAATTATTGCTTAACTAATCTAATAATCAAACGGCTTAACTAATCTATTAATTATCTTTTAAAGAAGTGCTTAACTCATTTTCTTCCTTGTTTAGCAGTTATTTCACTAACGTGAGATTTGTTTCTCAAATTTTGTTAAAACCAAATACGGAAATTAAAAATCAGTGACATATTTTGCACATTATTTGCGATAGACTGGTATATTTTAAATTATGTATTATCTTTCAATATATTAATACTCCTTCTTTTACCGCGAAAATTTTTCTGTAATACAATCAAATCTGGTGAATATTAAAAGATACAAATATTAAAATTAACTAGTTCAAATGTGCTTACCTTCAAAAGTCTATGTACTTTTCCTATTTATAATCTTATAATTATCTTTTAAAGAACTGCTGAATAATAATTATTGCTTAACTAATCTAATAATCAAACGGCTTAACAAATCCATTAATTATCTTTTAAAGAAGTGCTTAACTCATTTTCTTCCTTGTTTAGCAGTTATTTCACTAACGTGAGATTTGTTTCTCAAATTTTGCTAAAATCAAATACGGAAATTAAAAATCAGTGACATATTTTGCACATTATTTGCGATAGACTGATTTTACGACTATGCATGTAATTGTTAATGTTAATTTTTTTATCAACAAAGAAAATGTACTAATTTCAAATTTGCATTGTGTAGGTCTTTGTGCTGATGCAATTCGATCCTGGCCTTGAATACAAACCGAACCGAGGGGAAGAACCGAAGGAGGACAACTCCTGACTCCTGCACTGTAGCGCCTTGACTGACGGGCCTTACTCCTTCATATGAAATTAAACGATCATCTCAGTTTTAGGATTGACTCTCCTCAGCTGTGATCCACCCAGAGAGAAGCACTTGCAGTTCCATTAAAACGTCTGCCAAATGGCTCACAAATTAATATGAGATTCATTGAATCACTGCAAGGTGTGGTGGACGTGAGATGTGTCTGAGCTATGGCCAAAACAAATGTTTATTCCAACTTAAATTTTAATTCTCACTAATTAGAATACTTGTTTTCAAAAACCTGATTCTTATTAGAAAAGTAATATCTCATATCTTTTAATTTAGTTAACTTTTGAAATTAGTTTCAAATCGTTCATTTTTGTAAAAAAATTATTCTGAAATAATTACATCTAAAAAGTTACTGCCTAAAACTAGAGCCAAGGCTTATCGTCAAGGACGCTACAGTGATATCAGTATGAAGAATCGAAACTGACGTGAACTGTATCTAGGAACTAAAAAAGAAACCTTTGTTTTAGAATGAAATTCGAGTAGATGGATTCGTCTAACGTACAGAGGTTAAAGTCGCAGTTACTCGTGTGACGCTGTCTGGTGTATTCCGTTGCAGCTGTCCAAGATGAGCGGCGATGATTCAAGAAATATATTTACATATATGTACAAAATATATAAATATTTAAAATACTTGCGTACTTTTGCATGATGAAGAGTGGTGATTCCTTCTTTTCAATGCTGGTGCAAGTTGGATATACAAGACACCAACAACAATTCAAATTTTTGAATCTTAGTGCCATGAAAGTAGTGGGATATATTTACTACTAAAGACTGTGCCAATGGACATTAGTAATATTGGCCAATAAATGTAACTCAGCTTTTCTTATTACAACCATCCAATGGCATGGCTCCAACGAATTTAGTTTTGTATTCTTATTTTGTGATAATTATAGAAATTTTTTCAAAAAAAGGACAGCGATTTTAAGTATCAGCAATAATTAAAACTCCAAATTATTTTGGAACAATAGTCTGAATAGAGTTATAAATATTCTTTGTTTTAAAAAAAGTTTTCTTGAAGATTTGAAATGAATTAAACTATGCCATTGGAGTGGTATGGATAAATGTCTATGTGCGTTTGTATAAATTATTCCTTAGTCCTTATTTATGGTTGGCAAGCAGTTGGCAACCATTGTTATATGTTTAATCTAAGTATATGTTTCAAATGCAATCAATATTAGAGTCAAGGTTAACTCTTCTTCTTAAAACAATATTCATATTATAATATCTAAATGCTCGTAGAGTAGATCATTAAAATCTTAAATAATGTAAATATACGACTGTAACTAATCTAATCAGAGTAACTATTAACTGTTAATCTATTCAGCTATATAAATTTTTTAAATTAATTATATACTTGAAATTAAATGTTTTAAAAAAAATGCTTGAATGTTATGGAATGAGAAAAGTGCTCAGTGCGCGTTTGCATTTTCTAGAAGTATTTAGAATTCCTTTTCACTGCATTCGAATTACAAATTTAATCAATTAGTGTTTCATTAATTAGATTTAGCTCAATTAAGATTGTATAACAGCAGCAGTTGATGTAAAATACAGACTGATATTATATATTCCGCTTGTTGCATTCTAGCTAATATCTATGAGTTTGTAGGAAATGTAAATGTTTTTAGTTACAATATTCTTCCAATTTATTTAAATATTTTTTTCGTACTTGTAACAAAATTCTCCTAAATATATAATTTATTTAACAAGTTTTCTTCTAATAACTCAAAAGTTGAAACTAAACCAGAATTTCTTCTATTATTTATGACCATTATGTCAGAAACTAGATGCCAAAATGAGTTACATATTAGAGATAAAACGGGATATGAACCTTTAATCGGCTATGCAAGTTTTTGGATAACTGCTTTAGAAACCTTTTTAGTATAAATGTTATACAACTATTATAGCCACTGAAGAAAAGAACTTGAATCGATGAGTAAGCAAGGAAAGCAAAAACTAACGTGGACGACAACGAACCCCGGTTTCGGAAGGAAACGCTTCCAAAAATTATACCCTTTAAAGCAGTTATCCAGAAAGTTCTATGGCATTAAAAATATTTGGGGGAATCACCAATTAATAAAATAAAACCATAAAAATAATAAAACTATCTACAATAAAACTTTTATTTACTTGAGAGGAATTAGAGCATGAAGAATGTGATGAAACTGTCTTTTATAGTTTCAAAATAGATTAGTTTTTTTTAAAAACATCTTGGTTTCTAAAAGGTTATATAAACATAAAGAAACTTTTTAATTCGAACGGTGAAAATAAAATAAAACAATAAAAAAATTAACCATATTGAAAAAAGGATAACACAAAAAAAATCATACAAAGAAAACAGTTATATTTAATTTTAAAATTCCTGTAGTGATATGAAATGAAATAATTTGGTATAAGTAAAAAACATAAGTGCCTATAGGTAATGTATTTAACTTATTCTACAAGAAAATGTAGTCGTAAATATAATAAAATATAATAAAATTTTTAAAGAAAAGTACTCTAAAGATTTAAAAATAGGAAGAAAGTGATTAACAGAGCACTTAAAAGAGAAAACTTCTTTTAATGGATACTTACTTCTCAAATATTTTTATAGCAACACCCATTAAAGGTTCATAATTACATCAGCTGTTGCAGGTACAAGTTCGAAATAAGAAAAGGAATTATTTCCATCCGAAACCGCGGGTTAAATATCGTCTATGGTACATAATTGCTAGAAACCCTTGTTAGATTGAAATGGTATTCTTCGGTGGCGTTTGAGAATGACAATTCAGCACTGAGCACTTGTTTTTTACGTTTTACTAGAAAAAGTAATTGCGGAACAATAAATTTACAATTATATTACAACTATAAAACTTTATTGATTCGTGTAACATCACAAAGTAAAAAAAAGAATAAAATTTAAACAATTTCATCCATGCATCTAAATGCGTGTTATAATTTATGCATAATAAGCTCTCTTGGTGCAAATTTATCAACTTTCATTTCTGTCGCTTAATGTAAAAAAACTGTAGTTATTTTTATTGATTTTTACGGTACAATTATTAACAATTCAAAAAGAATATAGTTGGTATAATTAATATTTTCCGGTCTTATATTTCATTTTTTGATTTTAATGCATTAATAAAAAGAATGCAATGCTGCATCAGAACTCTTCAATCACAAGTGCTGATAAAGATTTAATACTCACATAGTTTGTACAATAAATATTAACTTACCCCAAATTAACTTTTTTTTAAAATTTGTTGCAGAAATATACCAAGACAATTATAATTTTTAATAACATAAATGCTCATTAATTTTTTTTTATTTTCATAAGGAATTTATTGATAAAATACTTTTAGATGAAAAATGTAAAATAATTATATAATTAACCATATTTAACCGTATGAAAAATATTGATAAATTTTTAATAGTCAAGAACAATCTATAAATTCTAAAGTTTGTAACTAATCAAATTCTAGTTGTTTAAATAAAATTAATATACATGAAGGTTACTTAGGCGACTATCCATAACTTAATTAGTTTTAACATGATATTCTAAACTAAATATTTTAGAACGAGTATTTGAGCATGTAAACCTGAATTCAGGCGGTAAAATACAATTTAATTTTAAAAAACTAAATTTATTAACTACATTCTTTGAGAAGTATGTGTATGAAAGTAGGTTTATAGTTTTGACATTTCTAATTACTTCTCCTAACTAGCTAAACATATTTAATCCAAGACTACTTTGTGATGTTTTACGTCTATCGTAACATTAATTTCTGTGCATAAGCAAACTCTAGACAATCGAGAGGCATTGTATAACAAATGTAACTTATGATTTCATATTTATGACTGTGATTTGATTATACAAGAATAGCATCGTTTTTCAAAAAGTAATACTGGAAATGATTACAAGTCAATAAATAAATTTTGTCAAGCTTTACTGTTGCTTATTATTTAACTTCTGATTTTTAAATTGAATCATTATAGTTTGACTGCATTAAATATATTTAGTCATCTAAATAATTTTATTTTTTGTATTCACGATGTTCCACAACCAACATATATATATATATA